AATAGGTATCTCAAGGGACGGTCTGTGCTATTTTCGTCTAATTTTCTCGCCCTGCTTTCTGGTTTATTTTCAAATTTAGCAGCGTTTTTCTTTTTAGTTATTTTCTTTTCTTTTTTTATTTGCTTGCACTACTCGAACTTGTCTTGTCACGACGAGAAATGCGATTAAAAATAGAGTTTTTCGAGTTTTCTGGGATTTTCAGCTGTTTCGTTTGGCTTCGTTTTTCTGGGTTTTGGTATTTGGTTGTTCAACACATGGGTTCTTTTGTATATTTTCAAAATACACGATAAGTTTACAAGAAACTAAATTATAGGGATTGTGGATTTAATCATGCGGAAATATTTGAAATTCGTAAATGTTTGGGAAAGCATTAAGATTTAGCTAAACAAATTGGTCATTATTAATTTAAGTTTAACTGAAAAATGTGTAATTGCTTTTCTCCCACAATAAAGAAGATTAATTACCTCTAGTAAATCTTTGCAACTAAACACAATCATAAACTCAAGCTGATGGATTTTTAAAGGTTATATTAACTTGATTTCATTGACTAGCAAAATTTATTTGATAGTCTGTCTTGTAAAATACAATTTGTAATCCCCTGTCATGTTTTAAGTGATATCTATTTGACAATCTTAATTTAATGTTATTATATAATAAAACAAATCTCTCGACAATAAAATCACAAAGAAAGGAATCTTAAATTCCACATGCTGATAAAATGTTTGTTAATTTATTCTTTTCTGTTGCAAATATATATTTTACAATAAACGTTTTGGTGAACTCCCACGCGCCTTCGCAAAATGGGAAACATATGAGAAATTGGCATATATCTAGTTCTATACGTAGATGTATAATAGCTATAAATACGGAATTCTCGAAACTAATTTTATAATTTTTCGCACGTAGAAATCGGCATGGATGATGATATCTAGACATATGCAAATGCCTCAATTCATACAAATCAAAATTGTTGACAGTTGCCCAGTTCTCTTTTTTTTTAAATTGCTTTTCGGCTTTTGCGAGGTCTGGTCATTTCTTAAAAGTATGTGCACTCAAATATTTATGGCTAATAGTTTATTTCGTTTACATAGCTTAATTTTTGTGCAAATAAACTTTCTTGGCTAATCTTAAAAGGAATTCATATTCTTTTAATTGCCTCCCGAAATGACTAATGTCTCGAAGCTAAAAAATATGTATTTGGCTGTTCCTCATAGATGAATTTCTGTTTAGAGAATCGGTTGAATGCCTTGAAGTCAATATTTGAAGACCAAGAAGCTCTGTTCGTTTGCCTGGCCATTAAACAGAGTAACTTTATGGTTAGGTGTGAAATAAATGGGGAAACATCAAATATAAATTGGGGAAAAAAGAAATAGCTTTGAAAGTGCTGAAAATTGAGTATTTCGAGAGCGGAAACCAATGTTTATGCGAAATAATGTTTGCCCAAAAGTCGAATTGGCTGCTGGAGATCTTTATAAATATAGATGGTCTAAAATTAGGAATCGCTGTACATACACAGAGAGAATTTTTCAAGTAATTTGTACTCAAATTGAGTATTTTTGTACTCAAAAATTCAGCATGAACAAAAATTCTCACATTGAGTGCAAAATACTCACTTTCAGTACAAATTTCTCAAAAAATTTGTACTTTAATTGAGTACGTTTGTGCTCTTTTTTGAACATTTTTCCTCAATATGAGTACAAACTGCACTCATTTTAAGAAATAATTTAGCTTGAATTTTAGAATCAAGTATCCCCTTTTCTCAAACTGAGAAATTTCTAGCGCTCAAAATGAGAAACAAGTTCTTGATAGTGAACTTATAAATTCTTAAATGAAGAACTTTTGCACTTAAACCCGCTCCACCCATTCCCAGAAAAAAGGTAAAATATTTTTTTTCATTATATTTTGTAATACAGTTATATATATACAAACACATTATTTTTTATTTAAGTTTATGTTCCATGTTATGGGTTATGATATTATTCCCTTAGCTGTCTGGTCTAGCGAAAAGCAAAGAGGCTGAAAAGAAAACGTTATTGTTAGCAAATATTGTAAATATATATGCATATATAAATATGAAACAATAAAATTAGAATGTTATTAAATGTACATTTAAAATGCATGTATGTATGTATGTACATTATACATAAAAAACTAACAAAACTAGACACGTGCTTCACGCCACTTACAATCACACATACATAAATATTGATGTACACGCTTTGGCAATATTTTTGCAGTGTTTGTTTATTTTATCATTATTAAGCACATTATAAATACAGTTAAAATTAAAGAACTTACCCTCGAGGTACGGAAGGGTGGCACGAATGTCAGTTCACTACAAAAGTTTTTTAACTTTGTGTTACGCGCACGTCTTCACTTTGCTAAATCACACGGCAAATGACAGTCACACAAATGCGGCGCGTACCACTTTACACACCCATTAGTGAGAAAGAGACAACCATATACGCAACGAACTAAAGACCGCTCATCTCTCGTCTCGTTCGCAGAACGGAATTCTCTAGAACCAATTATGAGAATTATCAACTCATTTTTGAGTCTATCGAATACTCATAATGAGAATATTAATTCTCAAGTTTGAAATGGAAGAACACATTTCCTCAAACTTAGAATTTTGTGATCAATTCAAGTTATTTTTCTTAAAATGAGTGAAACTTTCCTCAACATGAGCATTTTCCACAAATTTTGTACTTAAATTGAGTACATCCTCAAAATGAGAATACAAATTCTCAATTTCAGAACGTCATAATTTTCTCTGTGTATGTTTATGTATTTGCGCAACTGGATCATGAGGGTATATTCAAGGCACCAGTTGCCCAAAGGAAACTAGATAAGGAATGTTTTGTGTATATAGTAGGAAATCTTTAACAAACTATGCATTATTCGGTATTTCGTTTTAACAAATTATGTGATAGTTAAAGTAGATATACACCATTATCTATTCTTTCTTTATAACTGCTTTTTTTTTTATGGGCATCCATGTCTTTACATATCTAAGTTACAACCGAGTTACTCATGGCCTTTCAAGTGGCTGCCACTTACAATTTTACAACCCGCACAGTGGCTCACACCCATTTTGTAAACAATATTATGCTATAAAATAAAGTTGAACATGTGAATATAATCAAGAAGGCGCCACTTTGTTGCTTTTTCGGGGACCAGCTGCTACTGCCACCAATGTTTACTTTAGGTTTATAGATGTTCTTTAAATATACCAATTTTACATGATATTTCAAGTGGTGGTCTAGTGTGTGGATCTTCAGTTAGAGAAATGGTATAGTGGCTTCTTATTAACAGAACATTTTAAGGGGTAATACCACTTATAAAGCTGAAAAAAGACTTATATAAAATTCTGGAATGAACATGAAATGAAGTTTCTTAGAATTACAAAATTATATGTAGTGTATCTACTGCTTTATGATAGCAACTAATAATTTTAGGGGCTATGAAAATCACATTTCGAGTGGCTTGCTTTCGAATTCATTAAAATCCGCCGACCTTTGTCCAGTTTAGAATTAGAATTTGTCTATGAATAACAAATTCAATTGCGTTGCAAGCAAATTGCTTTAGGCCATTTGAAGTGCAACTTTATATCTCAGGGCCAACTTCTCAGCGTGACAACAATAAAAATATAGAGAGAAATATCAGATGCAATGCAATCACCGCACCGTGACGTCATTAGTCTAGTCTGGTTTTGAAAAAACAAACCTCGGCAAACTTGTTTATTTCTTTTAAGTGATTATGTAAGCTCCAAACGCGAAAAAAACATTTGTTTTGGTTTTGAATTTATGAATGGCTTTCATTAAGTGCCGCTGTAAGTTGAGCTTTGCCTTGCGCTGACCTATATTTTGGTCTCTTTCTATTCCAGATTTTCTGAATGTTTGTAAAACGATCCAAACCCTCGGGGTTGTAGTTTATAATAATCCATACTTAAAAGCATAAACAACCACCAGCCAAGGGCTGTGTAATTGATATTTTCTCACGCTCCATGATGTCACGCAGTAGTAAAGGTGTAAGGTAAAAGGTTTACGATTACAGGCCAAAGTAGTTAAATGCCACCCATTCATGCGGAGAAGGGCAAATCTTTTGGAGAGAGCTTGCGAGAAATGGGGAGAGCTGGGTTTCTCGGAGAGACCCGCGAGTAACTGTTAACAGAGGTACGCTTATCATTCAAAATTTTACCACCCCGTAGAGTAGAGCTTTTTTTGCGTCGTTGGGAAATTAAAATTTTATTTAATTTTTATGGGGAATATAGACGACAAATTAGCTGTTCCTTTATAACAGAGAAAATAATGTTAGTATGGGTAAATCAAAAGATACATTATAATCAATCCTAACTTTTAAAAATGTGAAAAACTATAAACCCCTCATTTATACAATGTATGTACATATGATATCTATTGTAAGAAACCTAAAAGACTAACCAGTTACAAACTTAAGTTTTTTGGTGAACTTAACAACTATATTATATTGATAACCGTCATTCAGTTTTTATTAAATCAGTCAAAAATTATTAAGGACAGTTAAACCCAGACCGTTGACCTTGTAAAATTCCTTTGTATTACCTGGAACCCCAAAATGTTTATCCAAGAAACACTCACCCCCTCTAAAAAAAGCCGGCTACTGCGCCACTGACCCTAAATAATAACAACCAGTCGGTTCAAACTCGGTGAGTACGTGCTGGAGTGGTAAACAACATCCATCAAAAGTCGTACAAAATATTGCGTGAGCTCGCTCTTTGATTCGGATTCTCTCTGGGGTTTTTAGTATTACACTCCGAGACCCTCTCCCGATTTGAAAAATACCAACACACATCGAATCGGCGGTGAGCACAGACTCTGGAAACATGAGCTTTACTACGATTACTATGTACGCCGAGCTGAGCTGCGTCTGCTCTCACGACTTTTTTTTTTTGGACTGGACAAGGCGTAGCATATTGAACGTTTTTGGGTCTGGGTTCAGTATCGAACCGGCTTTCTACGACAGCGGATTGGAATCGCGGAGCGACAAAGTCGCCGGGCAAATTATGTGATATAGCCGGCTGCCCACCAGGCTAAGCAGAAATCAAATTAAGAAACCCCAAAACCGAAAAACACACACAATTCTCGAATCTTTTTTCGTGGGCCAGTGAGAAGAATTGCGAGAGGAGTACTAATTTTCTTGCCTAACCGCGTGAGATAGTCTCAGGCTGGGCATTGTGTCTCCTAATAAAATCCAAAAACCCGAAAGCTTCGAGTGTTAAATATATACCTCATAAAAAAAGAAGAAGCGTGTGTATTTGCTTTTTGGCAAATTAAAGTTGAATTACGTGTGCCGAAAAATAAAAGACTGAAGGCCATTCAAGGGTTGTTCAAAGGAAAATTCGGTGAAAAGTCACCGAGTGTGTGTGTGTGTAAGTTGCGTGAGAAAAATCAATTCTGCATTTGGTGGAAAATTAAAGGAAAGGAGAAAGGAGTGGAGTGGAGTGGAAAGGACAAACCTAAAGGCTGGTTTTTGGTCTCCGAAAAACTCGTAACCGATGACAATTTGGCTTGACGAGGGTCTATTAGCGAAATCAATGCCATTATGGCTGATAGTGGAGGACCAGGATCCATAGATGCCGGCGGAGGAGGCCCAGGAGGAGGAGCAGCCGGAGCAGGCGATGACGTGCCTCCAGTTCCAGCTGTTCGCCGGCGCCGTGCGCATGAGCAGAAATCCTCGAGAGAGCAAGTGGAGGAGGAGGAGAGCCAACAGCTGGAGACGTCGACGGTGACGAGGACGTACATGAAGACCATCACCACCTCCCTGACCACCTCGAGTAACTTAGAGGAATTTGTCCTGGAAGAGCCTTCAGAGGCAGCTGCTCCTTCGCCCAATCAACAGAGATTGCGACAGAAGGTGGCCCAGTACGAAAAGGTCTGGTCGGATGGCTCCAATCCCGTGAAGAGGCCCGCCGAGCAGAGCTCCGATGAGCTCCGCTTGGCAGACGACCAGGATGAGTACGATGCCGAGAATCCCTTCGAGATAGATGTCCACGAGATCGAGCGGCGACTGCGCCAGGAGAGGCAACGTGGCCTGGCGGAGGCGGAGGCAGCCAAATTGGCCTTCCAGCAGGTGCAACTGAGGCACACGACTCCTCCGCGACGAGTGGAGGTCACCAGTGACCAGATGGCGAGTCCTTTCAATGTCACCCTTCGCACTACCAGTCGCATGAGTCCAGGGGCCGAGCAAGGCAATGTGGAGGAGCACCTGGCGCCGTTTAACGTGACCCTTCGCACCACCAGAAGGACCAAGAAGAAGGAGCTCAAGGAACTGGAGAGCTTCCTTGAGGGGGAGAGAACTGTTAGAGAGGTTCCCTCTGCGGATGGCGTAAGGACTATCATAACCTCCTCGATGACCAGCGATGGCGGCTATGCCGAGGAGAAGATCTATCGCCATGGCGAGGGCTATGTTTCCCCAAGGGACTCCCCATCCTGGTCTCGTTCCAGTTACTCCAGCGAGCGATCCAGTGTGACGCCGCCGAGGAGCGTGGATCTGACCGCCGGCGGACGAAGGATACTGATCAAACTGGAGCAGGAAAGTGAACTAACCGAGGCGGACTACTCGAGGCAGAAGGACGAGACCGATTCGTTTGCCAGGGAGGGAGCCATGGCAACCGGCAACATTGACATTACCGTCGGCGGTAGCAACCCCCGCCGGCGTTTGTACCAGCAAACAACTGTCCAGGTGGGCGGTGGCAACCGCACTGCCACCCCCGAGGAGCTGACACCCCAAAGGCCCAGGCCGAGGGACTTAGACCTGGCCAGGAGCACCAACACGAAGACAATGCTAACATCCACGCCAATTGGCACGAAGGAGCAACCGCAAACGAGTCCGAAAACTCCAGTTAGTCCAGCTGCAACGTGCCAATTGCGCGGTTCTTCGACGGAAGAGCCCCGGAAAATTGTAAGCCACAAAACGATAACCAGCACAACGACCAAGTCCACCTCGTCCTCATCCTCCTCGTCCACGTCGCGTAAATTGATCGAAACGTCGCCGGTTGTCGCCGGGAATAGGAATATCTCATCGCAAATTCGTACCGGTAACAACGATTTAGATATCGATAACGATTCGGACACCGAGGGCCGACCGGCCAGCAGTATAGTGATTGTGTCCACGCCCACGCGACCCACCACACCGGCATCCCAATCCGCGTCCGTAACCCCATCCGCATCCACATCCGCATCAGCTGCCCACGCCCTAAGCGGCATCGGCACTTTCAGCAAGAGTCTGCGCCAGGATTATCAGACTCTGGCAACGCAAAGTGGCCGCAGCAACGAATCACCCAGCGACCAGGAATACCACGAGTTCCAGTCCACCATGGCGTCCATAAACTACGCCCGCAGCAATTCCCAGTACGACAGCCATATCAAGGAGAAACGAGGTAAAAATCGGGAGCAGTAGAGGAAAGATATACTACCAATACTAAACTCAGGAATATATTAGTTTAGGAATACCCAGGAATAGATGAGGTTAGGGATAGGATATGTTCCATATTGGTCTTAAACAAGAAAAGGGTTACACTAAAGATAATTCAGAAAAAATGTAATGAAGATTGGTTGCTTTTCTAATACTTTTGTATTTTTATAGAGCAAAGTTTTGAAATCTTCTCAATTTTTAAAATAAAACAACATGTTGGAGAGGTCGTCTTAAAAAAATGTTTTAAAGTTGATGTGTTTTTAACATTTTCAATCAGTTTCTTAAACATAATACAACAATATGTATTGTATTCTAAAATTAAAAGTATTTTGGGACTCCTGATAAAAAAATAAATTAAAAGCCTTATAAATTCAAATAAATTCTTCTAAGACTGCAGTTCTGAACTTCACACTCGTAAAATATTTCACTTGCATTTCTTAAAAACCTTTATTCCAAGTCTTAGTTGTTAAGACCGCATTCCCTGTACCCTTATCTTCCACAATTAAACCAAGGTAATCCCCCATTTAGCCCATTTTGAGGTAGATCTTATCTGTAACAAGTTTATACCCCGTTATCTAGATAACGGAAATAGCACTGCTCAGTTATTTCGCTCGTTTCCCGTTTAGAAAACGATACCTATATTATAGGCAAAGGTATTTTTAGAAGATTCTATAGATTGTCAAGGTCAGTCGGCGGTACTTTGTGGTTACACCTGGTTCCCAGAGACATTTGTATGCTTAATTAATTATTACACAAAAACAATCGATAAAAAACGGCCGAAATGACATCATCCAACGATTTGAGACGCAGAAATTCGAACTTTAACTTGTTCCGCTGGCAGGCTTTATTATGGCTGTCGTTATAAGTCAGTCGGTCGGTTGGTCGCACCCCGAACTTCTATACTATCTGGCGATTTATATTATTTATATACTGGCGCACAGTGCGTTTGTTATGTATTCGCCCCATCGACTGTTGGCAAGCAGTTTGTTACCTCTTTCCTTGGGCCGGGAAAAAATGGGAATTTATTGGCAGCCAAAAGCACTCGAACTACCCCCAGAACAGGTTGATGTTGATGATGATGATGGGGGGTTGGTACTGCAGGATCGCTGTCTATTATGTGACCTCCTAGGCTGTTATTATGTTAAGCACAACAACCAATTAAGTGTCTGGCAGGCTGTCTGTCTTGCCCTCTTCGAAAATGTAGATCTAAGTGGATTGAACAGCTTGTCCCCTCGAATGACTAGCGAAATTTTCGGGTAGCACTTGACAATACACATTGTACATGGGTATATGCAAATATTTTCAGACACACATTTGTATCTATAGATACGCCCTGACGTTCGTTTGGGTGTATTATTAATATATGAACATTTTGCGTGCACTATCTTTAATATATGTATGATGATTATCGGGGAAAAGTCCTATTCGCATGAAGAATATTTTATGGAAATTGATTTTTCATGTTTGCCATTTGGGTTGCTGAGAGGTTTCTGTGGGCGGTTTTATTTATAGGTGATTAATAGGTTTTGATAAAATCGGACAGGTGGAATATGTTGAAGGATTATCACGCAGTTTTTAGGTCACTTTCTTATTCTAATTTTAATGTATTACCCATGTTTTTAAAACTGAAAGTCATAGCCTTTTGTAGGGTATTGCAAAAAACTAAAATATTTACAAATCGTTAGATGTCTTCATGTGACAATTAGTGAGCATAAATCAAGTTTGCGTGAGCTAAAGTATTATTTTTCCTCTTCTCGGATCATCGTCAATGTCAGCATAACGGCTTGCTGTCAAATATTTTGATGTTGCGTGTTTCCAGCAAACTTTTCGACTGCCTCGATAAGTTTGTTTGACAAAGCAGCTAAAATGTGCCCCAAATGTGTGCCATATAACTATATTGGCAGGCCTATCCACACACACAATATATATCATATCATATAATATATTCCGACATGGGGACAGCACTTTATAAATTTATAAACCAGCTAAGAGTACGTCAAGCGTTCACTAATTGATGACAGTCACATGGATATATAGTATATAGTAAACTATTGATTGGTGGCTTTTGACTTGGTTTCAATATGTGTCCTCACTTTCACGGCAATTATCATTAATGCCATTTTAAAGGGTGAGCAAAAATACAAAAAACCTGCAACTCTTTCAATATTTATGATATAGCTTGCGGTATATCAGCAATTCAGCTTCATCAAGCCGCAGTTCAAAGCCGATTTCGGCTATGAATATGATTTATGGGAGATATTCAATGCTCGTCTCGATGGAAATGGAAATGTTTTCAAAACAAAGTGTTATCTCAGGCGATCTGCCCCATCGGTCCCTCATTGTAAGTAATCCACACAAACGGAACTATTCGAACAGCAGCCGTACAACTGAGATCATCGTCGAGTTATTTATTGATTCTGGTATTGTCACTAACTGTCAGTTGTAATATTTATAGGGCATGTAGTTGAGCGGCTTTTAATTGATGCCTTAAATGCGGTCCAGAGAAGTTGGCGCCTCGCATTGAAATTTGAACTGGGGTTTGTAAATCAAGAAGCGAATCAAGTTTACACACAGAGCCGAACTTGAAGTATGCTCTTAACCCACAAAGTATATATATTTTGGCATTTATTCTTATGTGGGAGCAGATTTCTCTCCAGATGTGGCTCATGTGGCCAAAGAAATTAATAATTCTTAATTTCGAGGCTACCTCCTCTTCAATTTTTGGTTCTGCTCGTGGGCAGATCTTTTGAAGATCTCTTCTGAAGATTCTTTGCGGTTTTCGTCGGTTCAAACAAATTATCTTTTTTGTTTTTCAAGTAGTTTTCTGTTGCCTTATTTATTTTCTTTACGTTTTTGGCTACTCAATCATTTAGTTTTGGCTATCGGTATCTGCTCGTTTAGTAAACGGCATTAATGACAAAAATAAATAAACATACAGTAGAGTACATATACTTAGTTATGACGCAATACAACCACTTGACTCTGTTTGAATATGTATGAATCCCCATATCGTATTTGCATCTAATATTTTCGAGTAGCTGTGAAATGCCTAATGGGTTGGGGGTGGTTGGTTATGGTTAGGATGGGTTGGAAGGGGAGTGGCAACCTGTCGAAGGCAATGGAGCGTAAAGTTAAGTAATGCCATTTATAAGACTCTTAAACATGTTGACTTCAGGCAATTTATGCGGGCCTTTGCTGACATATTCGCTGCTCACTTGTCGCCGCAGGTGACACCTACAAGTGCAACTCGACACACCTCACTGGTTTTCATCGGTTTGTGTTGAAATCTACATTTAAATTTAAGCGAAATTTAAACAGTTGATATAATAATCATACAGTGTATGCTGGAGTGATCATCACATGGTCGATTGCCTATGGGGAAGGTCAACATTATAAGTAGTTTGGTTTATTGTAATATCAAAATGCCTTATCGAGTTGCACGAACTTTATAGTATAATCAAGTTAGACTGAGTCAGTTCTAGTTAAGATACTGTTTTGGGGGTTTTGTGAAGGAATGTGCGATAGTAATAGCATTTTGGAAGAGATAAGAGTTTAAATGGTGATTTTTAATTTGTTTTTCCTAGTTTTAAAGACTACCAATTAGAATTTTCTCTATTCTATATTATCCAATGGATCGTGCCCCAAATAATTAAGCCAATAAACATCGCTTTTTACATTACGGAAACCCCCTGCCGTATAACCCAGAACATTTAATTCAACGCACTTCCGTTGAAAAGCCCAACATATGCTCTATATCGTCTGGATTGAAACGCACTCCCCCCAAACGATTCGATTGCCTTTTGTTTATGCAAATGTATAGGAACATGTTTCGTATTTGGTGTGGTTTTTTTTTCTATTTTTCTGGTAGGGAAACCCAAACAATTAGCTATGCGTGAAAGTAAATAAACTATTTTTACCAAACACTTCTTTTTTGTTCGCTCACTGAGCTTATTTTCTATTTATGTTCTGTAACTAGGCCAAATCAGACAAACGGGCGACTGAACATATAGCAAACTGACTGACCTTTTGAGTACTTGACTTTTAAGTGTTAATATTTTTGGTAAATGGTAATTGGGGAAAAGCTCACAGGTTTCATTCATAAAACCGTATATGTATTTTCTAAGAATATTTCCACTACGCTTTGGACACGCTCATTAAACCGCAAAAATAGCGAAATACACATAAATAACAATCAACCGACTTAACATTATAATCATCATCATTAACTCACTGACTGACTAAACCATTCATAAGATGAAGTAAAAAAGAACCGACAACCGAAACTGTAAAAGAGGAGAACGAAACAACTTACCGCTGTTGAAATTCTTTGTTTTCGTTTCCGAAGAATCTATAATGTACATTGCCTCGGGGATCTGGCAATCATTTCATACATCATTATTGAAATGGAAATTGAAATTAACGAACCTCAGAAGTCATTCAACTTGAACGTTACTCCCTGGCCTGATTTTACCCCTGTTAATTGTTCTACGCATAATGCGGTGTAAAAATCAAACTCGTTTCTGTATGCTTTTACTTTTGATATTGCTGTTCGTTTTCGTTTATAACGTTGAAGTTTTTCCGACTCTATCTTAACTGAACGAGTAAAGCGCATTGAGTGTGGGAATTATAATTGCCTTCGATTTAATTGGGGCCTATAGGTTTAGTTTACATTACATTGCTACATAGAAGTCGAGTTTTGGAAAGGTTTTTAAATAGGTTACTCTGTAATCGTAAATAATTTATATATCGAAAGCCAGGTTTGTGCAGATTTTAAAATAATAAATGATAGTGATCTGAATTTTTATACAAAATAAGAAATACTTGTATATTTTGGAACCCAAAAAGATTACTGATTAGACAGTAATTAAACATTTTATTAATTTTAAATTTTTTTTTTATTTCGATTGCGTAAACGCCTAGGTTCAGAAAGTGCTATAGAAAGATTGATTAGCTTGACCCGTATTATATACACCACATTGTTCAACAGCCCTTATCAGATTCCACAACTTTAAGTGCATTTTTCTTATCTTTGCAATAATTGGCAAATGCTTTTGCTATCAGCTATAAACTTAACAAAAATTCACAAGATTTATAGCACAGTACAATTTTAACTAATCAACATGTGTCACATATACATTTATTTTTGGTCTGGCCAAGACCAAAATACTACAAACATAGCCAACTAGTTTTTATAAAGAAAATATATTCAGTATGCCAAATGCGGTAGTTAAGTTAATATATTCGCGAACATTAGAGATTTGTTACCTAAAATATCAGGTTTACTTTAAACGGGTCTATGAAGAGGCGTCTAAAGTTTTTGACCAAAGCAACTTAGTTGTTTGGGGATAACTATAGATAGATATAATTTCCTTTATTAAATAGAAGTGAATTTAAAAGAGAACTATGCCAATGTCTTTTATTTTTTGTAAATTGTTTATCATATTCTTAAAAATAAACATTTTCAATTCCTGATCAAATTAATTGAAACATTGTTTTTAAACGAACATAAAAGGTTTATATAAGGTTTGATTAAAGCAAAATCAGGTTAGTGACAAAAGAAACTGCTACCTTATGTATTGCACATTCTATATAAATATTAAGGTAACCTGAAGCCAGTACAAAATTTAAATTTAAATGTAATTACCTTATTTGTTGTTTATTTTATTTGTTCCCAAATCGTTTACAAAATTTCCTTGCCAACAAGTGATTTAAAGATGCCACATGTGTTAATTATTTGTGAAAACCTGCAACATCGAATCTTTACAAGCCATTAGATCATTTTAAAAGTGCCTGAAAGAACCATAAAAATGGCCATTAGGTTGGGTTTGGTATTTTACCTTGCCTCAAGTTCAACCAATTGCACAAATCTGTGGGTTTTGCCTTTGCCGAATGTTGGCTAAATTATTTATTTCACTTTAGAAAGATTAATATATACACACGACTTTCAGTTGCTTTGCAAATTGCGCAACCTTGAACTAATTTCTATTTAAATAATCTTTTGTCAACATTTCAAAAATTGCGTCACTCAGCCCGCGCAATAAATGAATGAAAATTGAATTCTAGAGGAATTGAAAATATAAGAGAAGAAATTGAGGGGATCATTTGAAATTAATTATTACAATTTGTGTGTGTTCTTACTTTGTAAATTGTTTTGATAATTAGCTAAGCGTTTGACGGCTTTCATGGCTCCGTCAATTTATTTTATGTAATAATTCTTATTCCAAGCATTCCTCGTGTCTAACTGTAGAAATTTTCCATTTTCGAAAACTGAGTATTTCTTATTTATTACGGGAAATCTATTTTCGCTTCATATTGTTGGCATGCCTTTGGCCCAATGCCAGAAATCGAATAGACCACGCACTGGGCCAAGTATTCTTGGAGTTCAGTTCCCAATGGGCTGGATTTTTGGTCCGGTGGGGATGGGTATGGGGATTTTCCCCAGACAGCTGCTGGCTACCATTTTCCATTTCCATTTCGACTGCACTTTTCCATAATGACGCTGCTTAATGCGTTTCTTTTTCGCTCTCTGGTGTATATTTTGATAATTGTTTACAAATTGATGTTTTTAACGCTTTGTTTATTATTTCAATTTGTCGGCTAAAGAATGAAATTGAGGTAATTAAGGCACACAAAAAAATTACTAAATATTTGGCTTGGTCGATCTGAGAATTCGTGTTTACAATTTGCGGTCTACCTTTTGACGCATGGAAAGGGTCAACGAAATTGGAAAGATTTTGCGGTGTTTTGTTTATGAGCTGGTTTTGGGTATACAACATTATTATTTCAATGATTCATTGGAAAAAATTGTTAAAGTATTAACATAAAAATGAAAATTTAATGATATTTTTGGGTGGTAAAATAATGAAATGAAAGCAATATACATTTTATAGTGCCCATTACATTTTTTACTTTATTTGGTCTTACTGAAGAAATAGACCCATAAACTTTTTGCGATATTATCGCGAAAATAAACATGATGTCATCGGTTTATACACCAGCTTAACTGATAATTCAATTAAGGCAAACATCAGTTTTAAACCGAAATGAAAACGAAAAACTGGTATAAAAGTTGTATACCCTGTGCATACCAAGAAATGTATCTTATCGGTTGTTTTCGGTATCTTTGGTAGTATCGTCATGTCTCTGTTTTGCCTTTTAAGTCTCTGTCGTCTTGGCTGCCGACACTTGTCCAACAATTAATTGCAAATGAACGAAATGTATTCCCCATTTACTGACATTTACCTGTTTTTTCTCTTTTTTTTAATTTTCAGAGGAGCAAGAACGTGTGCAGAAGAAGACATTCACTAATTGGATTAATTCATACCTATTGAAGGTGAGTCTATCTTGTGTCTAACCCCCTGAACGTCTCAATCGATTTGCGATTCGTCTTGAGAGCGCGGTGCCAATGAATTTTGTCTACACCAAGTGGCATTGGAATTTGCATATAGATTTGCATGTGATAAACCAAGCGTGAGAGGTTTTTGTGTTTGCCAAAAAACTAGACAAAACCTAACCCAAAACCTAAATGGGTTAAGGGGCGTGACATGTCCATCACTCTGAATACAAAATCAGAAATTACGCGTGATAAGCGTATTTAAGCTTTTGTTTGTCGAGTAATTATGATGGAATAATACGCGAAAAGCGGTTGTTCAGAGATATTGTGATATAACAGGCATTAAATGCGTGAAATTTGAAGGTTGTTTAGGGGTTTGTCAAGTAAAGCAGTGAATAAATTTTAAAACCTGATTTATGACGGTTGAATTTTAAATGTTATACTTTTTTTTTAAAACTTTTTCTGTTACAATTCTTAATAACACATTTGTGTGTTAAAATATAATTAGGTATGTACCTTTTTTCAGTAACTTTCGGAATTTCAGTAATTTTGCATCTGGATTTTTGATCTTTTATAGCATTGCTAAAATGTCTAAAGCCCACAATTTCTATCATCAGCATAAATGTGAGTAAATATGTACCTTCAGGTTCTGCGCAAACATTTGTCATGTCTGAACATATTCTTCGCTGGATAGCTTCCAAGAATACCAAGGCTAGAAATTCCTCAACGCATTTGTCTAGGTGCTCTCCATCTTTCTTCACTTTAGCCTTTTAACAATGCAAAAAAGATTGGAAAGAAAAGTGGTTGGATGGAATCCAAAGAGAGCCAGAAGTTGACGGCTGTCTAACCAAACAACGGCAGAAGAGAGTTGCATTAATGATAGTTCCGTTTCTGGCGGGGATCGGCTGGTGGCTTCAATTGCCTTGCCATTAACCCGCAAGAAAAACCCACGCGACGCCTACTGACTTACTTTCTTGTCCCGAACGGATGTGATTTAATGCACTTTTCAGTCTTTTCAGACTTTTCAGACCCCCGGTCTGCGGCCAAAGTCGCAGATTGAGTTAGCCATGTTTCGTTTGGTGTCTCAAATGCGTTATCTTTTAATACCAACGGCAATCTACAGACATGAGCCGGCAATTTTTTACGTCCCACACTGCTGTGGAAAAAATATTAGTAGTAATTGGAAACCTAAAAAAGAGATAATCCTACGAAATATATCTACAAATTTTTAGAGGTATTATCTTAGTAATTGCTTGTAATAATGCCAAAAAAGCTTTTCCATTTTGTGTAGTCTCATTAAGTGTTAAAAAATTCGTGTAGGTTTTGGCTAATTTACGAATATACAAATTATTTAAAAGGTATCAAATATTATTATATTTATATATATCATATCATTCTTTAAAAATTATAAAATATGAAAGCTATTAATTCTAAATTTATTTTTCGAACAGAACTTTTTTTTTCGAAAGAATCCTTTAAAATCTGTATTAATTTAGAGATAAAAACCTAGTTCATTAGGATACTATAAATGATATTATATAATTTTTTAATTTTGAGTACACTTCAGTTTATTTTATTTTAATGCTGTAAGGCTATTACTTTTTTTCCCCTACTGTGCATGGAGTGCTAAGAAATGAGAAATACTGTTGCCGGCCGGCCGGCAATTATTCCAATACAATCCAATCCGGGCAGCCATTGAAAACCAGTTCCTCGCCTCGGAGAGTGCAGCTCGATAAGGCTGCCAGTTGAAGTTGTATGCCACACAAAAGGAGCAGCAGACATGCAAGGCTCTCCGTCTCCGTCTCCAAAACCGAATTGATTTTCAAGAATGCGTGGGCTCGGCTTTCCTGATTGAAGTCATATTTCAGTCGTCCCAGGAGTCGGAGGAGATGCAACATCTACATCGGAGTTATGCAATATGCAAATGAGTCATTTAATGTGCATAATGACAGGGCAAATTTGCTGTCTCTGCCATTGCAATTGCACAACGATTGGCTTGACACGTTTCACTGTGGCAATAAATATTACAGCTGCCTTTGCTAATAAAAAGTGATTTATTTAATTTGTTTTTACCTATTGAAGCTTCGTTAGACCCGTCAATTAGCAGGCATCTTCCATTTCCCCACATTGTATCCAACAGATACATACCCACAGTTTAAAAAAAGCATTTGATGGGGGGCAGCCCAAAATTGTTGGATTGGTATTCGTTTTGTTTTTCAAGCTCAGTTCAAGGTGAACGAGGTTTTTTATATTTGTATCGCCGGTTTCGCTGGCGACCCAAAAACCCGCTCTGGACGCTCGCTTTTCATAGAATTTGATTAAAATTTATGAATTAATTTAAGCGCTTCGGAACCGGCGTGGTGGGTCTCCAGTGACATACATCTCGTTGGATGTTCAATTTTTGAGTGGTCCCACATCACATATCCCCAGTTGTCCACACCCCGAGTTCGCTTTCATTTCTTTATGACATAATTGATGGCAACGCCCCGGCACGAGTCGTGCCCTCCAGTTCGTAACTCCCGCATGGGAAACTATTTCTGGGGTCCATAAAACCAAAGTGAAAGGATCAAGCTATTACAGGTGATTAAATTAGAAAGGATTTCGTGGCGGGAAAGTGGGTTACGATAGCTGTTGCTAGAAACATTTGTCACGTGCTCATCTAATTGTGTTGGACAGGTGACAAGTGAGAAGATTAGAAAAGATTTACAATCCTCCCAGTCTCTGAATCACCCAGAGTAACGGATTATGGTTATGACTGACTTATATAGTTTGTGGGGGAATTACGTACCATAAATAAATTTAATTCTAAAGCCCGTTTACATTTTTTGTATAGAGAGAATATATAATTGTATTGGATAGAATATGTACCTAGAATAGTTGCTCTTAAATATAAAACAGATAAATATTTATGACTTTTTATAGTAATTGTAGGCACTGTAATTTGGTTTCAACTTATCAAACTAACTGGAGGGTATTAACATAGTTTTTTCTAACTGTAAGTTATATATAGCAAACAAAACTCAACATTTAAACCAGATAAATATTTAAAGCTTCGTCACCTTTAAGACCTCTTAAAACATTTTTAGGCACTTAAATATGGTTTCAACTTATCTACTTATAAACTTAACTAGTGGTTATTATAATACTCAGCGGTCTGATCAAGGCAAGGTACCCATTTGGTGATTAGCCGGTAAGACCCAGTTTTTTTTTGATGTCATGTTCGGGGAGTATTAAGTTCCTAAGAGACGCCCAGGCAACGGCTGTAATGACATATGTCAGCCCGAAATAAACAGCGGAAAGGCAAAAAACTTTTTATATAAAGCACTATGACACCATAAAGTCCGGAACTTAATGGAAAAAAAGATAGGCGTATCTAGTGGAACAGGAAACGGAAGCATTGAAATTGATTTCGCTATGTCTGTTCTGAAGGAGAATTCACACAAAAATGAAAAGTTTTTGCTGTAAAAAGTTTTACCAAGCATTGTCATTGTCTTTTGCATGTTGGCAACAGTTGAATAAAGTTTTGCAGAAACTATTTACCCACAAGAAAGCTCAATTAAATGCTACACTCAATTACAATGAATTTTCGCCGCTTTGTTTGTTTGTTTGTTTGTTTGTTTTCTTGGTGCCACTTCCGTTGCTGCGGCCTTAATGGCATTACCTTAAAAATTGTAATCTTTTGCGGTGGATTCGAGTTAAATGCCTGCTCGTGCCATTTGCCAATTTGTCCTGGCTCGTACTGAAGTATCACCGCAAATTATCGCTATGGCAAACAGCAATTTAAACTATTTTAATTGATTTAATGCGCCTTAATTTTGAACGATTCCGTGAGTTGCATTTAATTGATTACCCAAAAATAAACTTATGCAAAACCTGAATGAGCATTCAAAGGCAAAACATTAAATCTGTTCACTGCACCTCATTAACTTTTTATATTTTCTTAGCCATAAGTGCAAAACGTTGGCATAGTGCACATTATATGGTCATAAAGATGAAAATAAAACGTACACCAAATAGCACTTTAGGGCAATTATGGGTTACTTTGCCCTCTTTAAGAGAGAGAGAGTTGATAAAATTAGTTAAATTAAGGAAAGTAGTGGTGGAGCTTTGATTAGTGATAAGACCTGAATTAGGTATTTTGATGGTACTTTTCTGGGTAAAGATTTACAGCTTACAGCTATTTCTTTTCCTGTTTATAGTTTTACAAAACCTCTAATATAAAATACCATTTTCTTATACACTTAAGGTTAGGTGGTGCTTTTCTAGGTTAAGATTAAACGCATAAAATATTTTCTCCACCGTTTTATAACTCTGGGAAACCTGGTATTTAAAATCATGCACTTGGTGCATCTAAACTACAAATATTATTTAAAATATTTTCGAAATATTTAGTATGTAATATATTAAACCTAAAACCATTACGAAATAAATTCTAATCCATCAATTTACTCATCCATTTCAGCGTGTTCCACCGCTTCGTATCGATGATTTAATCAATGACTTACGCGATGGTACGAAACTAATTGCATTGCTGGAAGTTCTGTCCGGAGAACGCCTGCCCGTGGAGAAAGGTCGCGTTTTGAGACGTCCACATTTCCTCAGCAATGCCAATACGGCCCTGCAATTTTTGGCCAGCAAACGGATCAAGTTGGTTAATATTAATCCCGCAGATCTGGTGGACGGGAGACCACCAGTTGTGTTGGGTTTGATATGGACAATCATCTTGTACTTCCAGGTAAGAATGCTTATGTACTTAAAATTCTAGATTAATACACACCAAGTGCACCAGTTCACGAATTGAGAGCACCACCAAAAATTGGTTGCTAGTTGTACACCTTCTCACAAGGCTACCACCAGTAGAGATGTACACACTCCAAGTCAAAAATCCCACAAATCTGTTAAAACTTTGAACGTAATTAACCCCATGAACCTTCTTTTTCTATATACTTTTTTATTGATATCATAATCTTAAAACGTACACAAGCTTCGTAAAAAGAGGCGGAAAAACTTAGTAGTAGTTATAAATTATGCGCCACAGGTGGGTCCAAGTCGAACGTAATTGTTGTTTTGTCGTGTGTACCTCATACATATATCTTTTTATGGGTAGAAAATCGTTTTTAGTTGGTAGCCAAAACCTTTTAAGGCACTTCCATATCTTAAGTTTACCCATTACATTGCATTGCATGCGGGAAGTATTGAAATTGTTACTAATTCAATTATGTATTCATAATAGATCGAGGAGAACAGCCGCAACCTAGAGTATTTGGGTCATGGTATTGGCGGTTCGGTTAGTTCCCTCGACAGTGTTGGCAACCAGAAGCACGGCGATCTGAAGGCTGAGAAATGGAAGCAGGGTGCCAGGAAGACCCTGCTCAACTGGGTTACCAACGCCTTGCCAAAGTGAGTAAAGGAAAAGCTATATATATTTATTTATATTAATTTATATACCTTTGTTAAATAGGGAGAGTGGTGTGGAGGTGAAGGATTTCGGCGCCAGCTGGAGAGATGGCGTCGCTTTCCTGGCCCTCATCGATGCCATCAAGGCGAACCTGGTCAACTTGGCTGAGCTGAAGAAGGCCAGCAACCGCCAGCGTTTGGAGACTGCTTTCGATGTGGCCGAAAGCAAACTGGGCATTGCCAAGCTCCTGGACGCTGAGGATGTGGACGTACCCAAGCCGGACGAGAAGAGTATCATGACATATGTGGCGCAATTTTTGCACAAGTATCCTGAACCTAAGGTGGGTCTAATGATATTTAAATAAAAAATAAAACGATTTCATAAGATCTCATTTATGATTATGATCTCAAATTAGAACTTTTACATGACAAAAAATCTTTAAAAAAGGTTTAACTTATAATCACCAACTTAAAAAATAATATTATTTTACCAGGGTGCTTCCCGCGACCAATCGCATGTGCAGCAGGAGGCGGACGAGCTGCGTCGCTTCCTGGTGGAGAAGACCACCGAGTACGAGCCCATGGTCATGATGAGCTCGTTCCCACGCGATTTTAGTGAATATTTACTGGCACGTTCTGAAGTCGATGCCCATTTGGCGGCATACAACCGCTTGAAACAGCTCATCGAGAGCCAGAGCGGATTCCTGCAGGTTTCCCGCCAATCTTGGGAGGAGATAAACGAGCTGTGGCAGCGCCTCCAGTACCAGATGATGTACTGGCTCTGGCTGCTGGACTCCGAGCTGCCCGGCGACTTTGGCACCGTTGGCAAATGGTTAGCCGAAGCAGAGAAACTATTGATGGACAACGATATACCCAATGCAATGAACGAGGAGACGGCTGCTGTGATAAGCAGGAAACTGGAGGAGCACAAGCTCTTCTTCGCCGATCTGCCTCGCATTTTGGCCATGTTTGACAATGCCAAGCGGTCACCATTGGCCCAGCAGATTCCCCTAGAGCAGTTGCGCAACATGGAGCGCCGCCTTCAAGAGGTCGGACCCAAGGCAGCGGAGCGTAGGATTCGCCTAAAGTTCCTGGAGCACAAGTGCTGTCTGATTGCCTTCCTCAATCTGGTGGAGAACAAGATGCGCGGCTGGACTGGAAAGTATGGGCAGGAGGAGAAGGTGGCCCAACAACTGGAGCAGTACAAGAACTTTGTGTCGCGCAACAAGATCTTCCAGGAGTTCCAGAAGGCCTTTGTCGATATGCAACAGGTGGTGGACGAGTACAAGCGCGATGGCAATGTGCCGCGCAAGGAGATCAACGACATCGATCGGTTTATGTATGAAACCGAGGAGCGTTGGAAGCGCGTCTCCATGGAACTGAAGTGCTGTCAGAACTCCCTGGAGGAAGTGGTCAACTGCTGGCGTAGCTGGAACCAATTGGCCCCCACTTGCGAGGAGTGGCTACTGCTGGCCGAGCAGAAGGTGAACCAGAGCGAGGATGAACGTCTGGACTTCTTCCAGGACATACCCGTGTGGAAGGACAAGTTTGACGCCCTAGCTAATTCTGCCAACTATCTGATTGCCTCCTGTGAGGAGCCCATTGCCCAGCAGTTGCGTCAGCGGCATGGAGCTCTCTCTGAGCGATTTGAGCGTTTGTTTGCCAACACCAAGCAGTATATGCATGCTGGAGACATTATCCGTTCGCGGCAGGAGTACAAGTCCGGAATCGAACAGCTTTCCAGGTGGCTGCGAGGAGCTGAAAGCGTTCTGGACCAGAGGCAAGTCCTTGGAAACAGTGAGCAGATCAAGCAATATGGCCAGCAGCTGCAGCAGTTGGCCAGCGAAATCGATGACAACGAGGAGCTGTTTAAGACCATCAGCAGGAATTTCCAATCCCTGATCCAAGACCTTTCCCGCGACGAGGTGGACAAGATGATGAAATTGCTGAAGCAGGAGAAGGAATCTCTGGTGCGCATTCGCGCCCAGTTGCCTGCTAAGCTGCATCTGTTCCATCAACTGCAGATCCAACAGGAATCCCTGGAGGCGGGTCAAAAGGAGATCCATCAGTGGTTGAGCGAGGCTGAACAGCTTCTGGGAACACACAATCTTACCGGAGGCCGTGATGCCATTAATGAGCAACTCCAAAAGCACAAGACCTACTTCTCACGCACTGTTTACTATCGTTCCATGCTGGAGAGCAAGAACAAGGTGTTCCAGAACCTTCTGAAGGCCGTGTCCGCGGATGACAAGATCGACACTGCTTCCGCTTCGCAGCAAATGCAGCAGCTGAACGAGCGATTCAACTATGTGATCCAGAATGCCCAGCAATGGGAGCAGCGCTTGGACTCGGCAGCTGGTGGATGGAGCAACTTCAAGGACAACGAGCGTGTGGTCAGCGAATGGCTCACCCATGCGGAGTCCATGCTGGTGGAGAAGCACATCGAATCTAAGACCACAATCGAGACCCAGAAATACTTCTTTGAGCAGGTCAACGATCGCTGGATGAATGATCTGGTCCAGTCGGCTCAACAACTTCTGACCACCTTGCCCGCCCAGGAGCAACCTGCTGTTGTACAAAGTGTGGAGCAATTGCAATCCCGCTGGAAGAATGTGCTATCCCAGGCTCCGTTGCACCTACTAAAACTGGAATTCAGGCTGGACGAGAATGCCTTCTATCAATCCCTGAAGGATGTGGAGAAGGAGTTGCAGTTGGAGCAGCAGGCCCTGAATCGCAACGAGGACGTGGACTCCATTTTGCAGCGCAACCAGCAGTTCCTCCTGCAACAGGATGTAGTTCCCCGTCTGGAGCGCTGCCTTCAGAACATGCAACGTCTGGCCCAGGCCCACAGGCAACAACAACCCGGTGACATTAGTCTGGATCAGGCATACGACAATGCCAAGTCGCAGTGGCAACTGTTGTCCAACAAACTGGGCGATATGCGCCAAACCCTCCAGCAAATCCCAGCCCAATGGCAGGGCTACCATCTGAAATTCAACGATATGGTCAACTGGATGAACGGCGTGGATCAGAGCCTTAAAAATATCGTCAATGAAGTCAATACCATGGAGGAATTCGAGAAGGAGAAAGTCGTCTTCCAGGTGAGATCTATAGAAAAGATAAGTTTAGGGTTTCCACTTTAACCATTCCCAAATAATCTTCTCATTACCCCATCATGCATGCCTAAAGCTAAGGGAGCTAGTGGTAACTAATCTGCTTTTATTATCCAATAACACGATGATGCCAATTGCCTTTCCTTAAAGATTAACAGAATACTTATAATGAAAGAGCACACTGGCATCTGGCATTACATGAATCCGGTAACACCATACTAATAGTATATTTTTTATTTATAACAGAAAATCTGCCAGGATGCTGACAACAAACGCGAGGATATGAAATGGCTGGTCAAGACCTTGGATTCGCTTCTAAGCTACGCTACTGAAGATGAAGCTAATATGGAGCAGAAGAAACTGGAGGACCTGATCGCTCGCTACAAGAACCTCATCCCCACGATTGAGATTACCATGGTCAAGACGGAAGTTTTCTCTAAGTGCTACACCTACCGCCGTGAAGTTCACGAGGTTGTGTGCCTGCTGAGCAAGGTTAAGGATCAGACGGCCAATATACCAGCTCCCGATAGTCTGGAGCGTGTGAATCGCCTGATTGAAGAGCAGCAGTATGCCATTAATCAGCTGGATCACCAGCGCCCTCACATCATGTCTATGCTACAACGAGGACGTGATCTTATCAAGGATGTGCATGCCCCAGCCTTTGTTAATACCGAGGTCAAGAACCTGGAGACTGGTTGGAATCAGGCCTACACCGAAACCTCTGACAAACTGCAGGCCCTCAAGGGAACCCAGGCTGTTTGGAGCGAGTTCGTGGACCAGAAGAACGACATCTTCTCCATGTTGCAAACTGCCGAAACGGAGCTTCGTTCCCTGACTCCATTGCAAACCGATCCCAAAAATGTTAGCCAGGATCTAAAGTCCAAGAGAGATCTCAATGTGCAACTGCAGCAGGCTTCCCATCAACTTCTGCCTAAGTTGCATGCTCTCAAATCAGAACTGGCTCCTCTGGCTGCTCCCGACAAGCGTCCCATCCTGGAGAAGGAAGTGACCGAGGTGGAGAAGATGTTCTTCAATACCATGGAGCATGTGAAGGATCGCGTTGGCTATCTGGAGGACTACAGTGCCAAGTGGAACAACTACAAGACACGCCTCGCCGAACTGCAAGAGTGGGCCAACAAGGTTGCCCCCAAGAACATCGAGGCCCTTCAGTCCGAGGATCTCACACCGGAGGAGCGTGTGGTCAAGGTGCAGGCCTTCAAGCGTATCCTTGGCGATCGCATGAAGCAACTGGATCTTCTGGCCGCCGATGCCTCCGAGCTGGCCCCCAAAGAGGGCAACATTGCCGAGGCCAAGCGACTCAAGGGCGAGATCACCAAGCTGCAGGAGGTCCTCAGTGCCATCAATCGCAACGTGGACCACCAGGCACAGGCTGTGCAGGAGGATCTTGTCAACTGGCAGCAGTTCCAGGCCGGTCTGCAGCAAATCAAGCCAGCCGTGGAGCAAAGCGAAGTCAAGGTAAATAATGTAGTTTCTAAGCCCATCTCCCTCGAAGAAGCCGTTGCCATGCAACAGAATGCCCAACAATTCGAGACACAGTGCCAGGAGCAATTGGACAAGCTCCATGGCATATCAAACATCAGTCATAAAATGTTATGTAAGACCAATGCCCCCGACGAATTGGATGCCATGCATTCGCGTTGGACGGCTGTCCATGAGAACGCGAAGCAAGCGAGCGCCAAGCTTGAGAAATTGGTGGCCAATTGGAAGTCGTTTGACGCCGATGCCGCCAAGCTCGAGGATTGGGTTGGCCAGGGTGAGCAGCTGATGTCTCGCCGTCCAGCTGTCCTCAATACCCCGCACATTGACAAGCTCGAAAAGGAGCTGGTCAAACTGAAGTCCTTTAACAACGAGATCTCGCAGCAGCAGGCCAAGCTCGTGACTCTGGGTCAAAATGCCGATCAGATTAGTTTGCACTTGGCTCCTGAGGGAGCAGCAGCTTTGAAAGATCGCGTGAATCAAATGAAGGGCAAGCTGCAGAAGCTTTCGGAAGCCACTCGCGGTCACATCAACGAAGTTTCCGATGCCATTATCTCGCGACAGGACTTCAATGCCAAACTGGTTAACTTCTCCAACTGGATGGAGCAGCTTCGTAACCAAGTTACCCAAGTGGAAGAAATCAACCCAGAGCGTGTTGAGACCAGTCTCCATGTTATCCATGCCTTACTCCAGGAACATGCCGATAAGAAGCCGAGCTTTAATGCCATCTACGATGAGGTTAAGCAATTGGCCTTGGGAGCCACTCCCGAAGAGTCTAATGCCCTGAATGATGCCTACACCGCGTTGGTGGTGAACTATCAAAACCTGGAGACTAACATGCTGCAAAAGAAGGCAGCTCTGGAGAAGTGGACTGAGTTGCTGGGCTGGAAGAACGACACGGAATCGCATTTGAACTATTTGAAACACCAGTTGGACAAACCAGAAGGACCCGCTGCCGAGGAGCTCTCCAAGGTGATCGAGGAGATCGACAATTTAGGTCAGGGTATTTCCTACTGGAAGGGTCAGGCCAAGGAGATCGACGAAAACCCGGCCATCCAGTTGAGAGATGCTTTGTCCCGTCGTCCACTGATCGCCACCCAAATTGTGAATGATGTTGAGAATAAACTGGAGAATCTGAAGCTGCGCTCGCAGAATCAACAGCAGCAAATTCAACAGATGAACGTACGCAAGGACAAATTCCATGCCCTGGAGCACAACTTTGGCCAGGCTCTGCAAGAGAACCGCGCTAAGCTGGACGAGATTCTCAGACAGCATCCGACCCTGAACAACATCGATCAGATTATTGCCGATTTGGTTGCTCTGAATGAGGCTCTAAAATACCAGGCGGATCTGAAGAATCGCATTCATGACGAAGGTTCTTTGCTGATGCGTGAGGATATTTCCAGCATGCCTGCCATTCAGGAGAGCCTTCTTGTCATGGATAAGAACTACGATTCTTTGCAGAACGAGATTGCTGATCGCATTCAGAAGTACAACCTAATCAGCCAGGCCTTGAGGGAGTATGCTGACTCCAAGGACAAGTTCTCGAAGGAGCTGAAGAAGGCAGAAGATTTGTTCAATGCCATACCTCAACAGCCACGTGATGAAACTGAGCTCCATCAGGCTTCGGAGAAGACCAGGAAGACCATGGAGCAGCTGCGCAAATCCAAGCTCAGTTTGGATGAACTAGAGCGTCGGGGAAGCAATGTGGGCAAACTTTTCAGTGCTATTGGAGAGCCAATCCCCCAGGAAGTGCCACAGGAGGTAACAGCTGCCAAACAACACTGGCAAGATCTGCATGATAAGACAGCCAAGAACGCCCATGTCTACGAGACTGAAGCCGTTATTTGGTCACAGATCGAAGATGCCAAGAAGGACCTACTCCCCTGGTTGTCCGAAACAAACCAGGGACTCTGCGATGCTGCGGATAACTCAATTGAAATTGAGTTTGGACCTATGCGTCTAAGCAAATATCGCACGGAATTGCCTTCCTACCAGGCTCTGAAGGATTCGATTGTGGAGAAGACAAATGATTTGGTGAAGATCAACAAGGGCGCAGAGATCCCAGCTCTATCTGCTCTCAATAAACTCTTGACCGAGCAGTTTGCTGAAGTAAGCAACAATGCTGATCGCTTGAGTGCTGTTACCACTTCTTTTAACGATCAGGAACAAGAGTTGCGTAAACGCTCCAAGGAAGCCGGCGAGAGGGTGAGCAAACTCCGTGAGCAGTTGATCAAGTGCGACGATATGTCCGGTGATAATAACAAGATCATGGAGCGTCTCCTGCAATGCCGCGCCCTGCGTGGTGAACTCGACAATAGCGGAAACGAGATTGATAACATCAAACAAAAGGTCGATGAGTTGCGTAATCTGTATCCCACTTTCAGTGAGTCCATTATACCCAAAGAACTGAACAACGTGCAGAAACGGTATGAGAACGTCGATCTCTATGCTAAAAAGATTGAGAGCTCCCTGCTGCAGTTCCTCAAGAAATTCCACGCCGATAAAGTAGGCATGCTGAAGCGCATCATTGCCACTCAACGCGAAAAGGTGGCCTGGTGTCAGCCTGAGTCTTCCAGTGACAAATACAACCTCGATGTGAAGAAGTCCTCGTTACAGGAGGTAAGCAAGAGCATTGATGATTGCAAGGCGCGACATGCCGAAACCCTGAAGTCACTGGAGATGTTGAAGGCTGTGGAATCGCCTCAAAACCTTGCTGAACTTACCAACGATGCCGAGTTACTTCGTAAGGACATGCAGGCTCTGCAGGATAGCTTTGACAAAATCAAGGATATCCTCGATGAAAACGTCGATTTGTGGTCACAGTACGAGCAATCCAATGAACAGATTTCCAACTGGTTGCGTGACGTCGAAGGACGCGTTAAGGCAGAGACTAGCAGTCAAGTCAACCTACCTGAGGTGCCACAAAAGCTTCAGGAATTGTCTATTCTTCAACAGGATGTGTTGGCCCATGAGCCCATAATTAATAGTCTTGAGCAGACTTCCCAACAGCTTATTGAGAAGAACCCCGAGGCAAGAATCGGACAGTTTGTCACTCATTTGGTGCAGCGTTATCAAGCTGTATCTAAGGCACTGACTGGCTACATTGATAAGATCCGTAGTGCTCAGTTGTCGAATGCCAACTTTGCCAAGGCAGCCAAGGATTTCAACGAGTGGTTCGGGGATGCTAAGATCGAGTTCCAAGAATTGGCCCGCATGGGATCTCCTGGATCGTCTTCTGCCACAGCCCAACAACTGCAGACCGTCAAGAACTACATCAAGACCTTTGATAATGGTCAGGTTCTGCTAAATAACGCAGTGGACATTGGTGAGGCCCTGTATCCGGTGGTTTCCCCTGAGAATCGCGAACGTATCCGTTCTGATCTTCGTCAAATGCGTGAGAAGTTCGACTATCTGCGAGATGAAGCAAATGCATTCATGCAGCAAGTTGAGGGTGTTTTGATTCAGAAGACTTCCATCGAAGAAAGCTACACTCAAGTTTCGCATTACCTTAACGAATCGAAGGCTAAGGTTCCCGCCGGTGACGAATTGTACCCAACTTTGGCCACCAAAAAGGCTGCTCTTCAAAATTACAAGACCCAGCTGCAGGAGATTACCCTTCACAAGAATGCTCTTAAGCAACTACACGACAAGGCTGTGACCCTTTGCGATGATGAGTCGGAGAGAAAGACCGACGAGTCCATCCAAGAGTATAACACACTCTCCAAGAAGATTTCCGATAGGATTACAACCGTGGGAAATCATGTGGTTAAGCATGAGGCTTACGATCAGGTTCTGGAAAAAGCACAAGATTGGCTTAATACCATTAAATCCGAAGCCATTGACATCCTTAACGAGACCACATTTGAGAAGGAAGGTGCCGAGGAGAAACTGCTTGTTGTGGAAAATCTTCTGCAACATAAGCCTGAGGGTGATTCCATCTTCGATACCTGTCACAAGTTATTGGAAACGGTGCTCACACAGACCCATGCCAGTGGTCATCCAGCCCTGCTCAAGGGTTTCGAGGAACCGAAGCAGTCTTGGGAGGACTTCATGACTCTGTGTCAGGACTCGTTGGTAAAACTGAAGCAGCTCTGCTCTAAATGGGATGAGTTTGACACGATTATTGAAGAACTGGACAACTGGATGAAGAATGTGGAGGCAGTGGTTAAGAACCAGAACCTTAAGAGTACCGCGGAAGCCAAGAATGCCCATTTGAAGCAGCTTCAGGAGATTGCAAAGGACATTGAACGCCGTGGCTCGGCCATCAATGAGCTAATGGATCAAGGTCGTGAGATCGAGGGTGAAACCGATTTGAACCTTAAGTTGTCCCGCCTGAATACTCGCTATCAGACCCTGAAAAATCTATGCAAGGAATCGATAGCCAAGTATGTGAACTATGTGAAGGATCACGAAAGCTTCGATAACGACTTCGATGTATTCAAGCAAAGTCTTCAGTCTTCGGTCGACGAGTTAGCTAAGGCCAATGAGATCGTGGGTGATCAGAGCGTGCTGCAGGATCAGCAGAATAAGCTCCGTGAGATGTCCGACAAGCGTATTTCGGACTCCACTCTCTTCGAAGGTCTTATCGACCGTGGAGAAAAGCTCTATGGTCACACCAGTCCGGAAGGCCGTGAAATCATCCGTCAGCAGTTGCGTGCGCTGCGAACCCTGTGGGACAACTACACTGATGACTTAAACTCGGCAACGCAAAAGATCGATCAGTGTCTGCTGCAGTTCAACGAGTTTAGCATTGCCCAGGATCAGCTCACCAAGTGGCTGAAGGACGTGGACAAGGCCATGCAGAGTCACACCGAACCAAAGACGACGCTGCAGGAAAAGCGTGCTCAATTGCAGAACCACAAGTTGCTCCATCAGGAAATCACCACGCACAACGTTCTTGTCGATAATGTCTGCGACAAGGCTCAGATCCTGGTGGATCAGATCAAGGATAACTCGTTGAACGTGTATTTGGCCTCGATCAAGCAGCTCTTCCAGAGCATTGTCCAAAAGTCCGATGAAATCTTACACAATCTGGAGGATTGTGTCCAGAAGCATAACGAATTGAACAACGCCTTATCCTCGGCCAAGACTTGGATCTCCAATGAGAAGGCCAAGTTGCTGGAGTGCGATGATGCTTATGGCGAAAAGGCGGACATTAAACGCAAGATCGAAACCTTGGGACAGTTGGCTCAGAACAAACCACAGGCCATGAAGTTGATCAGCGATATACGTGATCTGTTCGAGAAGGTAAAGGCCACGACCTCCGAAAAGGGCAACGAAGTGCTGGACAAGGAGATCGAGGAGCTGGAGACCACCATGAAGAGTCACTTTGATGACATCGAGGGCATTGAAGGCAAGCAGAAGGATGTTCTTGCCCAGTGGGACAAATTTGAAAAGACGTTGGAAGATCTGACCAAGTGGTGCCGCAATGCAGAGGCTGTTTTCCGTGAGCAGCAGTTGAAGTCTACACTCCACGAGAAAGTGGAACAGCTGGAGAAGTACAAGATCCAAAGGGAATTGATTCTCCAAAAGGAGAAGGAGATCGATGCCTTTGGAGATGCTGCCCATGCCCTGCTCAACAACTGCGGAGCCGATCGTCTGAAGACTCTAACCACTCAGATCACCAATCGCTATCAGCTGCTACAGGTTCTCAGCAAGGAAGTGGTCAACCGCTGGTCCAACCTTGTCGATGATCACCAGTTCTACCAAGACAAGTACAACGAGGTCGACTTGTGGCTCCAACCCATTGAAGCACAAATGGAGAAGGTCCTTTTGGATGAACCCACCCAGAGTTCCAACATTCTTCAAATCCTGCTTTCTGAAAAGGAGCAAGCTGAGAGCTTATTCGCTGCTCTGAATGCAGCTGGAGAAAAGGCTCTGCCGGAGACTTCAACTCAGGGCAGGGAGAAGATTCGGAAGGACCTGCGTGATATACGTGATCGTTGGGACAAACTGGACGAGGGCATTCGCAACCTGGAGAAACGTCAGGAGGCCCAAGGTGTTCAGCTCTCCAGCTACCAGGATATTCTCAATCAAACAGTCAACTGGTTGGATCAAGTGGAAAAACTTCTTCACAACGAAAACCCAGCTAGCTGGACCAGCGCCCAGGAAATCCGCTCCAAATTGTACAAGTACAAGGCCACCAACCAGGACATTAACTCCCACAAGCGTATTGTAGAGGCAGTTAATGAAAAGGCAGCAGCCCTTCTGGGGAGCGCAGCCCCTGCCAATGCTGATGAGATCTCCAAGGCAGTTGCAGATGTGAACAAGCGTTATGAGCAAGTGGGACAAGATTGTGCCAAATTGGTTGCTGATCTTGACGGAGCTTTCGATGTGTATCAGCAGTTCAGTGAGCTGCAGAAGGCCCAACAGGACTACCAGAAAAATCTTTGGGATCGGCTTACCGGTTACTCTGACTACTCAGGTAACAAAGCAGCTCTCCAAGCACGTCTTCAAAAAATCAACGAGATTCAGGATGCTTTGCCGGAAGGAGTGGCCAAACTTAAATCCCTTGAGGATCACATTGAGCAACAGGCTAGTAATATTCCTGCCCGCTCCAAGGAGGCAATGGCCCGCGATCTGGCCAACTTGCATGCTGACTTTGAGAAATTCGGTGCTTCTTTGAGTGACGTGAAGAGTGGACTGGAGAATCGCCTTCAACAATGGAATGATTATGAGGTCAACTTGGATCGCCTGATCAACTGGTTGGGTGAGGCAGAGAATGCTCTGAAGAACTACAATCTGAAATCTTCATTCGAGGAGAAAGAAGAGCAATTGAATCGCTTCCAGTCCTTGGCGCAGAATTTGCGTCAAAACGAAGCCGACTTTGACAAGATGAAGGACGATACCTCGGAGCTGGTGCAAAGTTCTGGTGAAACCAGGATTGCTGTAAATGTGCAACAGGTCTCCTCCCGATTCCAATCGATACAGGCTACAGCCAAGGAAATTCTCAAGAAGTGCGAGCAGGCTGTCCAGGACCATGGTCACTTCAATGATAAGTACAAGCAGTGTGCAGATTGGTTGGCTAATGCCCAGGCTCGTTACGATGATTGCTGTGATTTGTCCACAGTAGCATCTCGTGACGATCTTCTGAAGAAACAACTGGTTATCCAGGAGCTTCTGGCTCAGCAACCCACTGCTACTCAGCTGCTGAATAGCACTGTTGAGCTGGGCGAAAAATGCTATGGATCCACCGCAACCGAAGGACGCGAAGCCATTCGCAGTCAACTGGATGATCTAACATTCGATCAGTTGTTTGATAACATTGCCATCACAGCGAGAAAGATTCAGGATAAAATCGCCAAATGGTCTGGCTTTGATGAGATCGCTGACAGCTTAAAGAGCTGGTTGGAGGAAACGGAGAATGCTCTTCCTGCTGATATTGAGTTGAAAACAACGCTGGATGAGAAACGCACCAAACTGCAGACCTATCGTGACATCCTAAACGACATCAACAACCATCAGGTGGAGTTGGGCAATCTTCAGGAGATTGCCGCCAATCTGCCAGAGAAAACGGACCTTGTGGACCAAATACTCAAGGACATTTCTGACAGATTTGGAAAGCTGCAAAAGCGAGCACAGAACTACGTGGAACGCTATGAGGGTATTGTGAGTGCCCATCAGCAGTACTCCAAGGCTGTGATGGATGCTCAAGAGTTCATCGATGCTACCCTGAATACGGTTCACTATTGGGGCGATCTGGATCTGGAACAGATCTCATTGCACACGAACCTCGATCGCCTGAAGAATCTGAAGGCCAGTTTGGCCGATGAGTTCCCTCGAGTTGATCAAGTGAGGGCTTTGGGCGAGAAGGTCATTCCGGGTACAGTGGATGTGGGCCAGGTGAACATCAAGTCCCAGATCGACACCACCCAGCAAGAATGGGAGAGTCTACTGACCGCTATCAGCTCGACTATTGAGGCCATTGAAGCGCGTCTACAGCACTGGTCGGAGTACGAACAATTGCGCGACCAATGTTTGGCTTGGATTCGTGATACGGATAACAACCTTCACGCAATTGACCTTAAGGAGGATCTACCGAAGAAGCGTGCTCAGTTGGACGCACTGAAAGCACTCCAAGGAGACGTACGCGCCAAGGAATTGGAGGTTGATAATGTCACGGAGAAGGCACAGACTCTGCTGAAGGGACCAACCAGCACTCGAGCTTCGGGTCCCGAGTTGGTTACCAAGTACCAACAGATCTTCCACAAGGTCAAAGAGCTCAACAACCGTTGGCAGCAGTATGTTGCTTCTCATGAAGATTTCGACAACGCTATCTCCGATTGCTCCTCTTGGATCAATAACATCAAAGAGAAGTTGGACTACTGCTCCGACATGTCCTCTATGAGTCCAAAAGAACTGGATAAGAAACTTGCCACTATTCAAGATGTTATCTTGCTGAAGGACGAAGGTTCTGCTCGTGTCTTGAAGATCCTCGAGCAGGCTCAGCATGTGCTGGCTAACACAGCCCCCGGAGGTCATGAAGCCATTAACAAGGAACTCACTGATCTCCAGGATCTCTGGTCAGGAATTGCTCTGCGCATCATGGATGTCAAATCTAATCTGGATGACTCCATTACTCAATGGTCCGGTTTCCTGGACCAAGTGCAAAATGTTCGCAAGTTCAACGAGTGGCTAGATGGGCTGGTCAAAGAATTAAGTGAGCATCAGACAACCATGACAGAGAAGCGAGCGCAGTTGGATCGGGTTAAATCTACGGAGGAGAAGGTTCGCGTCGAGAAGATCGATGTTGATGCCCTTAAGATCCAGGCCAAGGAGATGATTGCCAGCGGTCAACAAAGTCAGGCAGCCTTCCAGGCCCAAAAGGTGCTTGACACCTTCGATGAACTCTTTGCCAAGACCCAGAAACTGCTGTCAGATCGTCAGGATCAGTATAGGGATCATCGTTTGTTCAAGGAGGCCTACGATGATTTGGTTAGCTGGATTGGACGCGCCCGCGAGAAGTTCCCTTCGTTGAAACAGAGCAGCTTAAGTGATAAATTGGCCATCGAAAATGCTGTCCAAGCTACGGAAGCTCTTCTTAACAAACAAGCTCAGGGTGAACTTCTGGTCGAACACTTGGTCCACACCGGAGAAGTGGTGTTGGCCAGTACCTCTTCTCAAGGTCAGGAGATCATTAGGAATGATATCCGTGCCCTGCGCGACAGCTTTGAGGGCTTGTTCCGTGAAATCAACCAACAGAAAGAGAATCTGGAGGTTACCATGGTGCAGTGGCGGGCCTATAAGGAGGAGTACGAACGGCTGATGGAATGGTTACAGCAGATCGATATCCTTGTGAAGAATCACAAGCTCAACCTGTGTCCCAATCTTCCTGATAAGGAGAAACAGGTGGCTGATATGAAGGAAGTGATGTCACGTCTTGAGAAAGGCAAGGATGACATTGATAAGTTCAATGCTTCGGCTGCCAGTTTGCTCAAGTCTCACCTGGATACCTATGTGAACAATCAGCTGAGACACTTGGGTTCCGTCTATCAAGTGCAGGTAAACCTGGCAAAGGATGTCCTCAAAAAAGTGGAGACCAACCGCGACCAGCATCGCGAATACGATGCTAATATGAAGTCTGCCAAGGATTGGATAGCCAATGCCAAATCCGTAATTCAGTCGGCCGGCGAGGGAGCTGGCTCCAAGGAGGCTCTGCAACGTCGCTTGGAGCAAATCCAGGATTTGATTCGCAACCGTGAACTTGGTCAGAACTTGGTACACACCGCAATCAATAATGGCGAAAAGATAATCAGAAACACTCGCTCTGATGGACGTGATGCCATTAATAGCGAGATGAAAGAACTCCAAACCGAATGGGATCGCCTGGTTAAGAAAATGTCCACAGCCAAGGTGCAGCTGGAGACGAATCTGCTTCAATGGGCTGACTACAGTTCCAGCTACTCGCAGCTGCAGCAATGGATCACCGATAGGGAGGCTAAGTTGCAGCAAGCCTTGGAACAGAAGATCGTTAAATCCAAGAGGGGTCAACCTGGTCTCAGCAGTGGTTTGAGCGAACGTAAGGCCAATCTCCGCCAGACGAACAACATTGTCCAGGACATAGTATCCTTCGAACCCATGATTCAGTCGGTTACTTCCAAGGCTTCAGTTTTGCAGCAAGGTGCTCCGGGCACTGAGATCTCCGATAAGTACGAGAATCTCACCAAGCAAGCTAAGGATCTGTATGAAAAGCAGAAGAACACCATCGAAAGCTATCAGTCTTTGATTGATGCGGGCAATGACTTTGCTACCTGGCTGAGAAATGCCAAGGAGCGATTGAGCAAGTGCTCTGAGCCCACTGGAGATAAACAGGCTCTGGCCGAGAAGACCCACCAACTGAAGATCCTGCAGGGTGAGGTGCCCGAAGGTGCCCAGAAACTGAAGAATGCTCTGGAGCAAGGTGAAATCGCTTGTCGCAGCGCTGAGCCCGAGGATTGTGAAATCATCGAACAGGAAGTGGCCCTTCTACAGGAGGAGTTCGATGCCTACAGGGAAGCACTTAATAAGGCCAAGGATTATCTGGAAGTGGGCATTGTCAAGTGGTCAGACTACCAGGATCAGTACACCGAAGCTTTGGAGTGGTTAAGCAAGACCGAAGCTCTGGTGCAATCCTACAACAAGTTACAGGATAGCTTGATCCAGAAGAAGGTGGTCCTTGAGCAATTCCAGGGACATCTGCAGACCCTATTCGACTGGCAGAAGACTCTGGACGATCTTAACATGAAGGCTCAGGTTCTGCTGGAGACTTGCTCCGATACAAGGATCAGTAATGCCATTATGCAGTTGACAACCAAATACAATGCTCTACTGACCCTGGCCAAGGAAGTGATGCGTCGGCTGGAGATGCACTACCAAGAGCACCAACAACATCATAGTCTGTACGAGGAGTGTCAGTCCTGGATTGAGAAGACCCGCGAGAAACTTTCCGAGTGTGAACAAATACCCGGAACTCTTAACGAAGTTCAAATTAAATTGAACACCGTGAAGAATCTTCGTCAAGGCTTTGAAACCGGCCAGAACAAGCTGCGTTACCTTTTGGAATTGAAGGAAAAGGTGATTATGAACACTGAACAAAATGGAGCAGCCAAAATCCAGGAGGATACCGAATCCCTTAAACAGGACTTTGACAAACTTTTGGTGGATCTTAACGATGTTCGCCAGAAATTGGCCAATCGCCTGGCTCAGTTGGAGGAGATCTTCAAGCTCTACAAGATTCTGGTCGAATGGCTGGAGGATGTGGAACCGAGTGTCAAGGCCAGTGATGAGTTCCTGAATGATCTGAGTGAGAAGCGCGCCGCGCTCGAGAAGTTCCGCGTCATTCAGCGTGACATCAATGGCCACAATGACATTGTGGAGAAGATCAATCAGCGTCTCAAGGAGGACAACAGCTTGGATCTGAACGACTTCCAACCGGGTCTGGGCAAATTCGATGAGCTGCAGACGCAGGTCAATAAGATCATTGAGTCGCTGGAGAACCAGGTGAACAGCCATGAAAAATACAAGCAGGCATACAATGAGCTGCAGGATTGGCTGCGTCGTACTCGCATCGAAGTGGAGCAGTGTGCCGACTGCCATGGCGAGAAGGATCAAGTGGAGAGCCGTCTCAATCGATTGGGAGATCTACAGTCCGCCTCGTTGGAGGGCAAGTCCCTGCTCGAAGCCTGCGAAGAGCTAAGTCAGGCGGTAATTGCCACCAGCGGAAGTGAAGGCCAGGACAATGTGGCCCAGGAGATCAAACATCTCACCTCCGAATGGGAAACCCTTCAGGCTCTATCCCGCGATGCTCGAAGCAGCCTGGAATCTTGTCTGGCCGCCTGGCAGACCTTCCTGCAGAAGTTCAACAAGATCAACCTTTGGATCGAAACGATGAGCAAGCGTGTTACCAAATCTCAGGAAGGCGAAAACAAGACCCCCGAAGATTTGGTTAATGCCAAGGTAAGAAATCTTCGTCAAGTCGAGATCTCGCAACTGTCGCACGCACCTCTAACCAAAAAAATAAAAAGTACTAAATCGAATATATTATATATGTATAGCCAAAGCGCGCACGTAAAGTAGAACTCACCGAAAAAACAAATTTGTATCTAAATACCTCCGTACCGTGATAAATTAAATCATTAACTTAACCCACACTAATCACTACTGCTAACTTTTCAGCTAATCACTTTGTAATCTCAATTGCAGCTAATCATTTACACAGACACTTGTCTAATGCCTAATTGCTTTATGTGCTTTCAATAACCAGTGTTAGATCATTAAACTAAAGTATTTCTCTTCCTTTAGAAACTCCTTGAGGAAGTACTGGCCGAAAAGGACAATGTAGAGGATCTGAACGATAACTGCGAGTTGCTTATGGAGCAAAGTGCCTGCACTCGCATTCGGGATCAGACCATCGAAACTCAGGCCAACTATACCAAGCTGTTGACTTCCGCTCAGGGATTGGTCGCCAAGATCGAGAAGAACCTGTCGGATCACACTGAGTTCCTCAACTACAAGAAGGAAATGGATGCCTGGATAGAGAAGGCCCAACAGGTTCTTGATGATTGCTCCACCGATGGTGATGCTGCTATCATTGCCCAGAAATTGGATACCGTCAATGTGAGTTATTTATATGTTTATTATAATATTTTAAAGATTTCCATTGACCCCAAGCTAACAAATAAATTAATGGTAATATAAATCTTATATGTTCTCCAGTCCTTGGCTTCCCGTCTGCCCGAGGGTCAGCATCTGTTGGCTTTGGTGCAGGATGCCTACTCTAAGGCGTCGAACATCACACCAGAGGACAAGCAGGAGAAGTTACGGGATCTGATGACCAAGGTCCGTGAGGATTGGGATGCCCTGGGTCTGGCGGTCAAGCAAAAGTTGACCGATCTGAAGCAAGCTCAAAATCGTTGGAACGACTTTGCTGCCAACAAGGATAAGCTGGAGAAGTGGCTGAATGAAACCGAGAAGACTCTGAAGGTGGCACCGGAAACCAAGGGCGAACTGAGCGAGATGAAGACCCTGCTTGAGCGCTACAAGACCCTTTCGAATGAACTGAAACAGAAGGGCAATGACCTGGAGCAGTTGCAGTCGGAGGCTCGTGATTTGGGCACCGAAGTGGATGCAGTGAATCGCTTGCAATCCCGTTGCGATAAGCTCAAGAACGACTGCGCCGCTCACATTGCGTCGCTGGAGCAGGAGATGTTCGGCTATAATGCCTACCACCAGAGTCTGCAGGATGTGGAGAAGTGGCTGTTGCAGATCTCCTTCCAGCTGATGGCCCACAATTCGCTGTTCATCTCGAATCGCGAACAAACGCAGGAGCAGATCAAACAGCACGAGGCCTTGTTGGGTGAAATCCAAAAGTATCAGACCAACTTGGATGACTTGAATGCCAAGGGTCAGGCGCAGATTAAGCGCTACGAGAACTCAACTCCGGCCATTCGCCCCACAGTCGAGTCCCAGCTAAAGAATATCCAGGATAGCTACAATTCTCTGCTGCAAACCTCTGTCCAAATCAAGAACCGCCTGCTTGAATCGCTGGCCAAGTTCCAGGAATACGAGGACACTTTGGATAGCATTATGCGTAACCTGGAAACATACGAGCCCATTATACAGACCGAACTTGATGCCCCGGCAACAAGTCTGGAATTGGCTCAAAACCAATTGAGATGTGCCCAGGAAATGCAGAATAAGTTGAACAACGAGAAGTCCCGACTGGCAGCCGCCGTTCAGGCTTGTGAGGCAGCCACTGCCTCTATAAGTCGTCCCAGTTCTCCGCTGGAAACCGCCATGCAGGCCATTCCCGAAAGGGAGCTCATTGTGCGCGCCAAGCTGGAGGATCTGCTGGATCAGGTAGGAAAACGTGAAATCCTTACTGCATTTGTAGTTTCATTTTTAGAAGTTCAAAATTATGTAACTATCTTGTTTTTGGAAAAGAATGGAAAGATTGTGTAGAAGTAGTTAGATTGCTTTTAAATACTTCTTTAACAAAATCTTATTATGATGTTGGATTTAAACTATTTATAATTACAAAATCCCCAGTAGAACCTAGATTTTTTGGAAACTTAAATGTGATTTATTTTCTTCTGACTTCCTGTAGTTGAAAAACATTAAAGGCGTAGATATGCTAATCTTCCATTCTATTTTCTTTTGTTAGTCTTTTATTTTCTAACAAATGTCTTGTTCTTTTTATTAATCCCTTAACAACCACAAAACCCAACACTGCCCTAACTTTTGTTGATTTGCCACACTCCCCGTAAAACGTTGTAAAATGCACTACCCACCAAAAAAAATCGCTATGCCTTGTGCTTTGCTGCTATAAAGAAACCGCCTCCAAAGACTCGGAGCTCAACCAAAGGTGTTAACAAAGATGATGATGATGAAGATGAGGATGACGTTGAGATACAGGTTGAGCTCAGCGATGTGAATGAGGGGCTTTTGGATCCTATTGCCCACGAGCGTGTCAGCAACTATCGTAAGATAGTTCGCCTGAATAGCGCCCATGTGGGCAAGCTGAATGAATTAGTTGCTAAGGTAAGATGATCCTTACCAACCCTAGTTTGGATCCAACAGGTGGCGGACTGCATGGCTATAATATTAACAATTGCATGTTCTTATTTGTTAAAAACTTACTACTAAATGAGGTGTAATTGCTAACTCTTTTTTTTAATTCCTTTGATTTAGGTGCAATCCCACTTGGGTGGTTTGACTGCATCCGTTAGCGAACTGGAGCAACAGCAGAAGCAGCGCGCCGAGCTGCAGGATTGGGTGAAGAAGCAGCAGAGCTCTGTCTCGGATTGGATGATGCGTCCTTGCAAACTGCGTCCAGAGGCAGCTCAGCAGGAGCTGGTGTCCATGAACGATTTGTTGAACTCCATCGGTGACAAGCGATCGCAACTGATGCTGGAAATGACAGGATCATGTAAGTGTTAGCTATAGGATTTTGTTTAATTTTTAGGGGTTATGGAAACCTTGACCCGTGGAGACTTTTCCTAACTATATATCTTCCGTAATATTAGTGGGCGATGAAGACACCGATCTGGATGACAACATTGACAAACTGGAGTCGGAACTCATGGATGCCATTGCCAAGAAACAGGCTGGCCAGAATGTAATCGATGGCTATCGCCAGGGAATGGCTGATGTCCAGAACTGGTTCGACACCCTGATCAAACGCATGGATGTTCTGGATCGCGGTTCTGGTTTGAATTGTGCCCAGAAGACGGCGGCCATTAATGAGATCAAGAACGAGTACGAGCTGCAGGGTCACCCCAAGATTCAAGAGCTCAAGGGCAAGGCTTCGCAGGTGGCGGAGGTCATCAGCAATCTGGATGGTCAGCAGGTAGAAGAACAAATGAAGTCCCTGGATCGTCGTTTTGCCGATCTTGGCAAGCGCATTGATCGCAAGGCCCAACTGCTAGATGTGACCAACAAGGGAGTGGAGGGAGCCAAGGGCGAGATTGATCAGCTCCAAAATTGGGTGAAGCAGCAGATCGAGGAGCTGCAGGCTCCCACTCCATTGGGCTACACACCCAAGGACGCCGAGGCGCGCCAGCAAAAGATCAAGAGCCTCATGAAGGATGCCGAGGCCAAGCAATCCCTGGCCGATGTCCTGGAGAAGCGCGTGGCTAACATGCAACAGGAGTTGGAACCCGTTGAGTACTCCCAGCTGGAGTCCGCTTTGCGTAATCTGAACTCTGAGAACCGCAATCTGTCAGGAGTCCTCAAGGCGGAATTGGATCGTGCTCTAGAGGCCAGCAAGGCTCGTAAATCCCTGGAGAACGATTTGGACAAGGCCCGCCAATGGTTGAAGACCAAAATCTCCGAGGTGCGCAAGCTGCCGGTTTATCATCCACTTACCTCCGCTGAGATCGAGAAGAAGATCCAGGAGAACCGTAAATACGATGACGATGCCAAACAGTTCAACGACAGTGTTTTGACCGATGTTCAGCGTCAAGCTGCCAACATAATGAAGGATTGCGATGAAGCCGATAAGGCTGCACTGCAGCAGATTTTGGATGAAATTGCCGCCGATTACCAGACCCTGAAGGATGAGAGCAGCAAGCGAGGAAAGTCGCTTGATGATCTCCTGCAGGGTCGCAAGGCCTTCGAGGATTCGATGAAGAACATGGGCGATTGGTTGAACGAAATGGAAACCGCCACCGAGGGTGAGCTGCGTACCACTAGTCTTCCTGTCTTGGAGGAGCAGTTGGCCCACTATAAGAAACTCCTGAATGATGCCGAGAACAAGGGCGGACTCATTAACGACGTGTCTGAACAAGGAAAGAGCATCCTACCAACTTTGAGCAATGCCGATAAACTGAAACTCAACGATGATATTAAAAACATGAAGGATCGCTATGGCAGGATCAAGAATACCATCGATGATCGCGTGAATGCCCTGGGTGATCACATCAAGAAGTACAAGGATGCCAAGAGCAGGTTGGCCGATTGCAGTCAGTTCTTGGGCACCATTCAGCAGAAACTCAGGGAACTGAATCGCCCCATTGGCTCGAGAATTGAAGATGTCCAGGATTTGTTGGGCGCCTATGAGGGTATACTCAAGGAACTCAAGGACAGCAAGAGCAAGATGGGCGATATGCAAATGGACGATTTGCCAGAGCTGCAGAGCATTCTGGCCCAGCAGGATGATATGATCAAACTGATTGAAGATCAGTTGGCCCATCTGCGCCAGCTCCTCCTGCTCCGCGAACAGTTTATTGCTTTGATCAATGAGATCATTGCCTTTATTATGAAGTACACCGATGTTATCATTGATATTGAAAACTCACCTGATAGTCTGGAGGATAAGATCAACAAGTACGATGATGTCATTGTGAAGATTCAGGAGTGCGAGGGTGTCCTGGCCTCGGCCAATGACAAGGGCCAGAAGATTGCCTCCGAGGGCAATGCTGCCGATAAGAACAGCATTACCGAGCAACTGCAATCTCTGAAGAATCAGTTGCAGAATCTCCGCAAGGCGGTGGAATCGCAACGCCAGAAGCATCAGCTGCAACTGGAATCCCACAAGAAGATGGCTGCCGAGCTGAGCGAAATCCTTGATTGGCTGCACAGCCATGAAGGAGCTGCCAAGTCGCGTCCTCTGCTGGATCGGGATCCCGAATCCGTGGAAAGGGAGCTGCAAAAGCACCAGGGACTCAGCCAGGACATTGAATCGTATTTGAATAAATTCAACAAAATCAATGATGGTGTAAAGACCGAAATTGGTATGCCAAGTTCCCTGTTGGAAATGCTTTCCGAGGGCAGATCCCTGGTTGCCTCCTTGCCCCATGAACTCGAGGAGCGTGAGAAGTATCTAAAGAACAACCGCGACTCACGTTTGGAGTACATGCAGCTGGTGGCCAAGTTCAATGATTGGGTTCACGAAGCCGAGTTGCGTCTGCAGAACAGCCAGCATGGCATCGACTACGAGCACCTGGTCCAGGATCTCGATGAACACAAGATCTTCTTTGGCAACGAGGCTCCCATCCGTAATCTGGTGCACAAGCAGATCCAAGAGGCCGCCGACAAGATCTGGTCTTCGCTGAACAACTACGAGCAGTCGGAACTTTCGGCGGAGTTGGCTCAGTTCCAGACCAAGTTGACCAATACTTTGGCCAATGCCAAGACCCAGCAGAGCGAATTGGAGAAGGAGGCGGAGCGCTGGCGGGAATACCAGCAGTCCATCGATCGGGTCAAGGCCACCATCGAACGTACCAAGTTCAGCGATGAGCCTGTCCAGAATTTGGCCGGTCTGCACTTCAACATCCAGAAGCTTTCCCACGCCATTGGAAATGTTCAGGTGAGTTTTAGAAAAAATTGGGGTTATATTTCCAGAGTCTTACATTTTTTTAGAGAATTTTCTTAAATAGTTAGTGAGTAGGTACAACAAATGTTGGATCCTAAATCGATATCGAAAAATTCTTATATCGTAATCATTTAACTGATATGTTAAGTGAGATTTGTGTGAATGGGTATAAATGTCATAAAAGAAAAGAAATAGTTAAATATAATAAATATTATTAAAACAGTTTTGAAATGAAAAGATGAATTAGATTTTTTAAAAGTTCAAGATGATAAGGGAAACAAAACTTTAAGATATTTTATAATGATAACAAAATTAGGGATATTTTTTTTAAGATGTTGGATAAGTTTTTATATGGTTAATCAGTCGAACTAACTTTAAAAAGTATAAATATTTTTCAAAATGGAAACCCAACATATACTTTTGAGTATTTATTTGGGCACTCTTTAAAGTAGCCATGAATATTCAGCTGTTCGCTCACATGCCTTGCTCATATAAGTGTGTAGCCGAAAGACCTGTTTTCCAAAAAATGACACATTGCACAAGGATGTGCCATAAACATACATATGCGAGTGTATCCACTCGAGAGCAACTTTATGGAGTGGCCACGAAAAAAACCAAAGTGCATTCGTTGGCGTTTTTTGCATTTGGTAGTCATGGTTTTGCCGGCCGGCAAAAGCAGAAACCGCACTCTCACCAACTCACTTTCAATTGCATTTGAGTGCCCGTTTCTCTTAGGGAGCTCTCCTCTCTTCCTGCCACTTCCACTTCGGTAATCTCTCTTCGTTTCTTTTTATTTTGCGCTGATAGTTGTTTATTGAACACGTTGAGTGCCCATTTGTTTACTTTCGTAAGCTTTTACCTTGGGAACTCATTAAACTTTTAACCTACTGGTTCACCATTTGTCGGTGTGTCGGCCTCATCGGGCTTATCGTTCAGTCGTCCGTTGCCAGACTTCCAGTTCGATTATAATTATTCAAGGCACTGGCTCGACTTTTATGCTCAGCGACTGGAAAAAACAGCTGTTGTTGTTGCTGCTTCTGCTGCCGCTAAATAAATTAAGCCCATGACATCATCAGCAGTAGCAACACTGTATCAGGCAACCAGTTTTGAGCCAGGGATGTGGTACACTACAGTTTGGATAGTTTGTTTGGGGCAAAATATATGGGATATAAGTATTGTATAAGTACCATTTTAAACTTTATTAGAATTTTTTGATATATAATATTAATTGAAAAGAGTTAAAACTACATTAATTTTACCATTTTAAATAATAAACAAGATAAGATGCACATTTAGGATTGGGTTTTAAACTTTATTAGAATTTTTTGAAATATAATACCAACTGAAAAGAATTAGAACTACATAAATCTTACCATTTTAAACAATATTCGATTTTAGGAGTATATTTTTCCAAATATTCAATTTTAAACTATGTTTTAGGAATATATTTTTCTAAATATATTCGGATTTTTAAGCAAATGAAAGCTTTTTCATTGTCATAAAACTTAAATTTTTAAAAGAACTTTTATTATTTAAAAATAACTCAATAGTAGTATTATAATATAATAATAATAATGATTTAATTCAAGTTTCAATCCCAAATGGTTTCGTAACTCTTGTCAGAAAGAATAGGTAAATTTAAAGTATCTCAAGGTCTTAAAAACTTTTGTTTTTGTTTTAGCCCTGGTTTCTCAGTGAAATATTGAGCCACAGCAACAACAACCAGCGCACATGTTAAGTGACTTTTGTTGGTGTTTGTTGAGCGAGCTTTAAGAGCACCGGCCCTTTGGGTCTCCTCTCTCGCTCTCTGCCCTTTCACACACAGCTGTTTGGTTGTTGCTATTGGTTTTTAGGGCAAGCCGGCAGTTGTTGTTGCTGCCAACTTTGGTGAGAGAGTGACGTGTACACGGTGGCGTATGCGTGATGTACATAGCACATATGCGAAGCCCAACTTTTGCCGCCCACGCCCACCCAAAAAGTGTATATATGTTTGTACATATATTATGCCATATAGTAGGAAAAACGTGTTTGCCCGGCTTTTTGTCCTCTCTTTCGGCATGCTCTTCCGCGAACTAAAAGAGAACGGGATTCTAACTCGTGCTTATTTGCTTTTTGGGCCTGTTGGCTTTTTTTCGAGTTCCCCCGAGTTCACTTCAAGTTGAGACGTTTATCTGTGCGGTTGGCAGCGTGTTTTTGTTTTGTATTCGCGATTCGTACTATATATATGTATATAGACAAAGAGAGCAGCAGCAAGAAAGCGGAGAATCGCCACATTTGTTAAATTTGAATTACCCGTTTCGTTATAAAACAAAAAAAGGAAAACTAAATGCCATGTGCTTGAGGCCAGGCGCAAATTGAACAGAAATAAAATACAACCAAATTGCCAGCCAGATAGACATCAATATCGGAAAGACAACGGCTAACGTCATCAGCCGTTCGAAATCTATAAAAGACCCATAAGAAATCAAACAAAATAAGGCTACACTCGAGGTGTGTGTTATGTGTGTGTGTTTAAGTGCTTGTGAAAAAATCTATAAAATTTTATAAGAATTAAGCAGCGTTTGCCTTTCAACTCCCTGGGTCAGACATATGTCAAAGTTGAACTAGGGGGCACACTCAGTGGAAACGACGTACACATCTGCTTTTAGAGCGAAACTCCCAGACAAAGGCGGAAATTTCTAATCATACATACCACTTCTATATATTTTTGTATAATTCGCGATTCCGGATTTCGGGGCGAGTTACGTCAGAAAGTCATATAATTCACACACCGCTCTTGTTCTTGTTCCCCGCACATTCCAGAGCCAGAATAGCGACTTAACGCTAGTCAACCAGCAGGCCCAATCGCTCATCCGGCAGGCCGACGCCCGAAACCGCCAGCTGATCGAGCAGGATAACGCCGGTTTGAACAGAGCTTGGCAGGATCTGGTCCGCGGCCTGGAGCAGCGACGCGACAACCTGCAACAGTTGGCCGAGCATTGGGACGGCTTCGAGAACAGCCTGCACGCCTGGGAAAAGGCACTTGGTCGACTGGAGGACAAGTTCCGCAATGTCGATCCGACTGTAAGATCCCGACGTCACTTGGAAGATACGAAGAATGCCATTCAGGTGAGTTAACACGTCCGCCGCTTAAGGTCATCGCAGATACATTTACATGCTGGCCACATTTGGGGATTACACTGGGAAATAGTTTTTGAGATTTCCTAAGTCCATACTGTACTGTTCTTAAGATGCCCATGCCATTGAAATATTTAATATATTTACAACATGTCAAATATTTTTAAGTAAGTGCTTAATGTGGTATCAAAAGATACATTTGTTTAGTCTTTTAGAATAGGTATATGACCAGAATATTTCATTTTGTAAAATAGAAGATCTTTGTCTTTATCGACACGGGTTCCTAAAGTTCTCATGGAGATTTCCATGCCATTTAAATATTGATTTCTTAAAGTTATTTATAACATGTCAAATGTCTTAAAGCAAGAGCTTACTGTGGTATCAAAAGATACATTTTTAAAAGGGGTATATGACCGCATTATTTTATTTTGAAAGATTTAATACCCATATGTCTTTATCGACATAAGTTCTTGAAGTTCTTAAAATGCATTGTAATATATCATTATTTCAACAAATTTTACAGTCTTAAGATAAAATGAGTTTTGTTCTCAAAAGTGTATTCTTAAACATATATCATTTTTCCACCATTTTTAAAGACTTCAGATAAACCGAATCTTGTATTTTTAACTCACATTCGTATCTCAGTGTGTATATATCATGCGGCACCCATTCATTCATTTAGTTTCGTTGTGGCAAATTCGCCCTCCCTTGGGGGCTTTTATGTTTGTCAAATATTTTTACCAATATCCATGCATAACCACAAACCGTGTAGGATATATAAATATATATATATATAGATATAGCCGTGAACACCATGCCGACATCAAGTTCATGGTCACGTTGTGGACCGGAGCTTGCGCTCTCGTGGCCTCTCCCGCTCTTCAAGCTCTCTTCTCTCGACTTGAGCTTAGCAAAAGCAAAAGCTATATGGTCTCTGAGGCAGGTCCAAAATTAATCTAATGATGTGTTTTGAATGATTAACACGGAAAGCCACTAAATCACAGTAATCAAGAGAGAAGAATGTGGCTACCAAAACAACAATAACTTTCGGTTTCTTTAAACTTTTGATTTTAGTTCAACCAGAGAACGTGAGCCACCTAATGATTGATGGCCCATAAATAACATAAAGCTTTTGTTTATATTTACATATTAATTGCATTTATTTATTGTTACTTTATAAACCCAAGGTAGTAACACCTCGCCACATGTTTAACTACATAGAACTATAGTAATTATTATTTGTACTACCTATCAGCGATGATTTGAATGATTTGTTGGTGAGTGAGATCATTGTTTTGGGGCGATAACAGCTTTTGATGTTTATTTTCAATTTGACAACTATAAATAGTACTAGAAAAGCTAGTCCCACCGCAACTTCAATAGCAGGTTTTCCAATCACATTTCAATTGAAGCAATTTTCAGCCATAAAAGCTAGGCCCCTCCATATCGAACTAACGATGTTGTCATACATGTGCCATATAAAGCTGATTTCGGCGATAACGAAATAGAAACAAAAACCATCATACGTAACGATGATAAACAAACGCAAACACATACTTAAGGTTTTAATTTTGTCTCACCAAATGAGACTATAAATTTTATTTATTTGTTGTATATCTCGTTAAGTTGAAAAACTTCTTCTCGATAAAATAACCTCAAGTTCCTAAGCTGCAAAGTCAACTTTATTTATTTTTCTTTTATTCAATGGCGACCTTCCAAAAATAAAAACTGGAAATGAAAACGATTTTGAGGGAGATACAAGTTCTAGAAAAAATAGAGATGTTGCAATGTTGGCCATTAATGATATTTACTCATCCATTACATGACCCCACCTAATTAATCTTAATTGAGCAAACGTTGTAATTAATAAACTCTGTACTCTTTATAGGAACTGCGTGAAGAATCAAATCAACTTAAATCATCACATAAAGAAATCGAGGCGCTCTCTAAATCCATCCTCACATTCCTTGGGGAAGTACACAAACCCTCGGCGGAGGCCATACAGGCCAAAGTGGATAAGTTAGTCGAACAGCAGGCCAAGTGAGTACCCACTGAAACCCCAATTACCCATACGAACCCTATCCTATCAGTGCTATATACATTGTGTTTAACTACGCGTGACTGGGGACCCAAAAAGAAAAACAAACCCAATCAAAACACAAACAAAGGTTCCGATCGAAACGTTTAATTCCGGAAATTGAATTGGCTTGCATACATTATATCAAGCTGCCAAACTTGTTGCCTAATGAAAATGAATGGCAATTTATAGAACTTGACTGGTTACAGATGAGTATCTGTGAGGTTTTCATGTTTATATCATAGTCATATTTAAAATAGTAGAGAATTCTTATGATAGAATGAATTTCTCTAACTGTGAAGGAAACTTTTTATGAGTATTTCGTAGGTATAATTTTAATGGTTGCTATAAAGATACATTTTTGTTCTCGCCTTTATAAACCTTTTCCTAAGTTTCTAGACTTGTTTGGCCCTCGAAATGCCATCTTATTGTTATAGTTGAGTCAAAAACTGACGTCAGACCAACTGTTACGCTTCGTGGTCGGCGTTTTGTTGTGTGTGCATTACGTAAGACGAGACTTATAGAGTTTGTACCCCTCTCAGCCCTCCATAACCCGAAAAAATTAAGTTTAATTGCAAGTTCTGGGAAATTCTTATTAAGCATTAGCATTATTTTCTTTTTTTCCGGGGCTATCCCGTTCCTCAAAGAACTGTGCCAAAGCTTCAGTCTTATCAAACGCGATAGGGGCCTTAGAAGAAACAAACATATATATTATTTATACGCTTTTTTGATAAGACGAATTCTTTTGCCGTGCCTTTACGGAAATGACTGATGATATATGTGTATTTCTGTTGTTGCCTGGCGCTAGAAGAACTCAAAAGCCGTGCCAATATGCCAATTCATTTTGCTCTTCTTGTTAATTGTTCCCTCTGAATTTTTTCGTATTTTCATTTGCTAATTTATCTATCACGTGCCATAGACTTGGCAACATGTTGCCAGCAACATGTTGATAGACCTCGAAACTCACCATACCCGCAGATCACGTAAACACTTTTTCGAATTTTTCGTTGACAGCGGCCCACTTTTCTCCCTTTTGGCCTTTCACACTGACACAATTTCTGGGTGTGTCCCCCGCCACTCTTTCTCTCCACAAGTCTACTTGTTTTGTTTTATTTTTACACACAATTTGTTGTTTTCCGACAGCAGTCTGCTTGAAAAACGAGAGCAGCAGCTGTGGCTATAATTTGCCTCAAATTTTCCCCACGTTTTCCCCCAAAAACCAACCGCAATGTGCGTAAGTTTTCGAGGGGCTTAAAGCGAGTGAAATGACAAATGTTTTGACTGCTGCCAGGCGCCGACAGCTTCGATATTTCAAGCGCAAATTCTATGGATAATCACGTTTCCACGTTGATTGAGTAACTAACAATAAACGAAACGTGTTTGTATCATAAATACTATTTTATTTCTCAGACAAGGAATATAGACATGAGCAATCCAAATTACCATTATTTTTATCTACCAATTAATAAATTTTTAAGTTATGATATATCAACCTGTAAGAACCCATTACATCTGCTCTATAAATAGTAAAAACTTTTTCATTACTCACACCGAATATTCCAAAAAAAGAAACTAATAAGTGGACCATGAAATATTTTCCAATTCTTTCCATAATAAATCTTTATGAAATAATCGTTTCCCAGTTAATGCCCATAGGCATCCCCATTTAATTAGCTGAAACATTTATTCCTTTAATTGTTTTCATTCTCAAATGCGGCTGTCCCAAACAGAACAAACAAACTATGCCATCATCACGCCGAAAAGAATGATCTAATATACCTCCAAGCGGCATGTCATCGATAATTATATAGTCACAACTGAGATATGTGTAGTATATATCCCAAAATGCGACGCAAAATTTTAATGCATTTACACACTTGAGATATTAATAACATTGTTTCGACATGCAAAAATCTAATCAGCGAAAAGACATTAAATATTGCGTAAGCCTCCTGCACTTTGTGGGGATTTAATAATTTATTTTTAACAAGTTCAGTGGTGTACGTGTTTATCTAGAAGGCGACAATTAGCTCCATTAGCAAGTAAATTTGATTTTTGCACAAATCTTATATAGAGGTTCGGTTCTCAAGTGAGATTATATGCCATTGATGAAATGCCGGTGGGGGAATACGTGATAAAGCGATGTGAGCAAAATGTAAACAATGTGCCGAAAAAATCATAAAAAAGTTGAGTAAATAAAAAACACAAGTGAAAATAAAATATTTTGCTTGAGTTGGGTGACTTCATCGTTGAGAAATGGCAAAATATATGAAAAATAAAAAGGTAAACCATATGTGCAAGTTATTTAAATTGAATTATAATTGAAATACTGCTGAATCATACGAGTATGTCGTAGATTTTACAAACTTATCAGGTTTATACAAATTCATTAGACAGCCAAACAAATCCAAATTTAATCTGTGATTTGCATATGCATTTGCATTAGCAATTTGTCAGAAAAAAAAGAGAAAATCAAAAACCGACAGCAACAGAAGCGAACAATAATAAAAACTTTGCCCAAATGAGGTAAGCGGGTAATAATAAGTTTATTTTTGCCACTGTTAGCCGTTAACAGAGCGATGTTACCGTTTTTGAATACAGTTCTGTGTTCCATTCCACTGGTTACTCTCTCTTTTCTGGGCTCTCTCTAGTGGTAAGTTTACTGCCGGCTTTTCTTATCTAAACCGGCTTTTGCCTTATCAATCAACCCTGCATTTTAGGTACTATTTTTCAATGAAAGAGGGGTTGTATATCTATGCAAACTCCCTTGATTTTAGCCGGTTTCTTCAATGTCAAACTCTTTTGACTGTATTATTTTGTAGACCCCACTCGTCTCCCCCCTTTTATACAGATATTTTGGTGTGGTGAGTTCGGGGTCTTAGCAGTTTTCGTTCTTTTATTTCCGTAGAGCCTTCGGGCGCTGTTAACGATCGCCAGCCGACGAAAGCCGAAGCAAAGTTTTTGGCAATTTTTGCGTGCGCCGCTAGCGTTGAGATTCTTTTCGGGTTAGTTTTTATATAGAGTTAGTTGCAAGCGGACGTGTTTCTAAAACTGGATGGCTGGAAACTAAATGAAAAAGCAAACGAACGAAGCGACCGCAATACATATACGCATATTTTTAAATCAAATTAATTAACTAAGAAGTAGTTAAAACCAGAGAAGCAGCAAAGCATAAGAAATACCGGCGCCCCATTCTAAGAGGAATAGAAAAAAAGAAATGTATGACAATGGCTTTTCATTTGGGCCAATGGCTCCTAATCGAAATATTTCTTTTTCCCTCCGATTTCTTCTATTTTCATGTTGAAGTTTCGAACGCCGCTTTGTGGATTACCAGGCGTATACGTAACGAGCACGAAGGAACAGCAGATTTTCCATTTGTGTAGCGTCTGCTTGGTTTTCACCGAAATTCCGCCACCGGAATTGAGGCTCTGGAAGTCAAGCAGAGAGCTCGAAAGTTCCCAAAAGTTGAGCACACTTCTGCCTCCAAGTTATAAAGGAGGTCCGAAAGTTGTCGCCAAATTCGCAGACAGAAGACTGAGCAGCAATTAAAAATTGTAGCTAATTGCCGGCCACTTACGCACTTGTAGTTAAAGTCGTGAAAAGCATAAGGTGATTGTTTGGGCACAACAAAAAAAAGCATAAAACAAGTACTTAAACGAGAGAGCTGGTAGAAATTTCCGAGACTTCAAGACTTGATTAAGTCATCGCAGAGTAAAACCCCTCGAAAAACATATATGCAAAACAACACCGGTCTCTGGTACTCGTATACCTGCCAGGGTCGTCAGGTGTGAGTGTTTTTGTTATTTGTCCGCTTTATTCGATTCGGAGAGAAAGAGAATGAATATGATTCGCACGCGTTTCTACTTTAAACGATGACGTAGCCAAGGCGACAGAAATAGCCACTGCCAATAGCTTATCGTCGTCGAGGGCCTGATTACATTCCTCCTGTCGCCATAATTGATCAAACTATGTTTCACAAATGTTTCCCGAAAACGTATTGCTATATTTATTTATTTTTTTTTATTATTATTTTTTTGTCTTTCGGCAACACACGCCGTCATTTAGCTGCCTTTCACTTTCTCTCGTGCTCGCCACGGCATTTCTAGCATATTTTGCCATTTAAATTAGAGCCATGCACTAAATTTAAATCGTTAATTTGTACAAAATGGCAGCCGAGTGAAAATAGCATTGGGGAAAAATCATTTTTCTTTTTTTTGTCGGCATTTCAAACCCAAACAACATTGAGAACTCACTATTAATTCCTCACTAGTTCGATATTTGTTGGCTGCGAAAAATGACGCCGAAATAATTCTGGCTAGTTTATAGAGAGTATCTTCTATTTCCGCAGCCCAGAAAAATTTGTTCTTTCGGCGGCGCGCATTTAACAATTAAATTTGAAAATGTTTTCAGCCAACTTTGCGGCCAATTGGCCGAGAGCCAAATGTGTGTTGACTTGGCCTCATCTTAGGGCCGCATTTTGCTTTGCTCCTCGGCGGCTGTAAAGGGCAATAAACGTTCCATTAACAAATCGCTCATTCCATGCCAAGTGCAATCGTTCAACACGAACACGAACACTTGTTGTCGGTACACACAAGATCATTTTTTCTAATACACTTCAAACGCTTTTGCGTTGGGCCACCAGGGCGTATGAGCGATATGCGTCATGTGCTGGAAATACGGAACGGAAATCAATGCGAAATTCAAATGCGATCGGTGTTTCTCATTGATTCATCCCGTTCACTGCAACGCCCCAATGACGTCAGCTTGTCTACGATCGAAAAATGCAAAATACCTCTATTCAAAAAAGTAAAAAAAAAATAAAACATAAATAAATGGGGTGTATATAAATTTAAACATGCGCCGCTTTTAAAAATACAGACAAGCTAAAACTACAAAAAGAAAAACAAGATATTGTAAAAGTTGTGCGTGGCCAAGCAGAAGAAGGGAATATTTTTATTTTTTTTTTATCTTTTTCGGCTTTTAAAAGAAAAGTTTTCGCTCTTTGCCTCTCAATGGGATCAAGGCAATTTCGAATTATGAGCAATGTTGAAAAATCGTGTTCGAAAGTTTTCGAAAAATTGCTCAGACCCGAGCAAATGTGCGCCAGCCATTTCATTTAGAAAACTCTCTTGTACCCAAGCGGCAGCATTCATTTTTCACGGAAATCTTCGCAGCCTCGAGGCCAAAGCCCAGTGGATCTTACATATATATAGCCATATATATATATACAAGCAGCCAAAGAACATTGAAAACTTCAGAATCTTTTCAGCCTTTTGTGCCGCCAGAGGAATAACTTTTCGCCCCCCATATATCTTGAAAGAGATATCGTATAGAAATCTATCTATACCATCGGGAACCGCGTGGTTTTCACACTGTCTACACAAATACACACATTGCTATTGGATAACTTGCCCCTGAAAAAAACTAACCCACTCTCTTCTTTCAGATTGAACGACACTCTGCGCGATAAGGAGCAACAGGTTAGCAAGGATCTCGAGGAGATCGAGCAAGTCTTCCGTCGCATTTCGCAGCTACAGGATAAGCTAAACGCTCTACACGATCAACTGCAATCGGTTCACGTCTACGACGAGCACATCTCGCAAACAGAACAGCTCCTGATCACATTGAACAGCCAGGTGCAACAGGCCTCCGAGGAGAGCAAGTCACTGGTGGCCCAGACGACGGCCCACTACCAGGCCAAGCAGAATCAGCTGCCCAACGACATTGCCCAGGAGTTCACAGCCCTAGAGCTGCTGGCCGAGCGTGTCCAGGTGACGATGGAGACCAAAGAGAAGGATTTCAAGCGGGCGAAGACCGTGCGCACCGAGTATGTGGCCGGTGTGGATGAGATTCAGCGCTGGCTGCTCCAGGCCGAGGTGCAGGTGCAGGAGCGCAGCCTCACGCCCACACAGATGAAGGAGCTGCTGCAGCGCATCAACCACGAGATCACCGCCATCTACGAACGCTTCACCCTGGTCAAGACCAACGGCCAGCTGATCATCGAGAATTGTCGCAACAGCGAGGAGAAGACGCTGGTGCAGACGACCATCGATCAGTTGGCCGCATCCCTGGCCCAGGTACGCGGCTGGCTGGACGAGAAGAAGCAGGCGGTGGGCGATAGCCTGGATGCATGGACGAGGTTCATGAACCTCTATCAGATCGTGATGTCGTGGGCTTCGGAGAAGCGCACCTTCATCGATCAGACCATTGAACTGCGCACCCTGCCCGAGGCGAGGAACAAACTGAACGACTATGTGACGGCTGTGAAGAGTATTAAACCGATTGTGAAGCATCTGAGCGAAATGGACAAGGAACTGGAGCACATTGGCCAGGTTACGACTGTGGGCGATCTCAAGGACAAACTGCAGGAGGCCGAGGATGCGAAGATATCCGTGGAAGCGGTGCTGCTAGAGAGGGTAAAGTGGTGGATGCAGGGGATCTAGCCACCAGGACCCCCTAAAATAACATTGTTTTTCCCATCTTTTATCTTTTTATCCATTAGAACTCCCTGCTGCAAGAGGCCTGCGAGGAATGGGACCAATGTGAACGCAAGATTAAGGATATACGCACCTGGCACGAGAAGACGAAGCAGAGTCTGGACTCCTCGCAGCAGCAGAAGAAACCGCTGCGCGATCAGCTCGGCTTCTGTGAGAAGACCCTGGCCGACATTAATGTGCAGAAAACGAAACTGAGACTGTCCATCGAGAAACTGGAGGTGAGTAGTTGGCCCCGACGCCATGGCTAATCCCTGCTTACCATCTCATCCGCAGGTTCATTTCCGCAACGGCATGGGCGGTGATCCCCGGCTGAGCGAGAATGTCGATGATCTGGTGCGCGTGCTCGACGGCCTGGGTGAACTGGTCAAGGCCAAGTCACAGAGCCTCGAGCAGACGCTGGCCCAGATCGATGTTTACCAGCAGCAGATGCAGACCCTGCGCCAGCGCATCATCCAGGAGGAGCAACAGCTCCGCCTGGTGATGGCGCCCACGTACTTGCCGCACGATCGCGAGCGCGCATTAGCCGAGCAACAGGTACGTACCGTCCAGTCTTTGACAGAATTAGTAGACCCGTTTAGCAAAAAACCAGCTAGCAGTTCAGTTCAGATATAGCAGATATTGCCAGGAGATCTCTCTAGTAAAGTCGGTTATCCCATTTAAAAAGCCCCTTTTTATATATATCTATATATCATTTCGTCATCGCTGTGAACGATCCTTCATCGCTATGAAAAACAGTTGACAGAACAACAAAACCAAAGTTATTAACCCCTTACCCAAATATATAATATATATACTTGATTAATATTTTGAAATCGTTTTTGTCCCTTACGCTTAAATGTGTGCGGGTAGGTCTGAAGAAAAACAGTTGCACGGTGGCTGCGTATTTAATTTAATTTTACTTAGTTTATCAAAAGAAGGAAAACAACGCGCATTTTTATTTCTTCATGTTTTTGTTTTATTCTTTTTCGTTTTGCAAAATTCTATTACGTTTTTATTTTCGAATTGGTTTTATGTCATTATTTCGCACACAAATGCTCACACAAATCCACATTTATCATCCACATTTCATCTTTATGTTTCCTTACGTTTAAACATTTTTCATCTCTCATCTACCGACCGTGCAGCTCTCATTCTCAAAACTCATTGCTATCGTATCGCTCTCATCGGAAAAATACCCACAAAAATTATACCCCTCATCATTACCATTTGTCACGTGCTGCGGCCCCAAAGAATTTTTGATGCCCAAAAATAAATAAGTTCTTGTTGTCAGGGTTAGGCCACCCAGAAAATAAAACCGAATTCCTCCTCCAGATAATCACATGGACTATTTTTAGAGTCAAAACGTTTTCCATTGTTTTTATTGGTCATAAACAAAGTGATTATTTTTAGAAGCAGGTGGCCTAGCAATAGGTTAAAATCAAGATTTCCCCAGTATTTTAAATAGCTTGTAATTTTATTACTAAAATTTAACTTTACATTGCGAATTGCAATGTTGGCGGTAAGTGGCAAAATATAGAATTCAATTCAATTTTGGGCAGTAGCTAAATTTGATAATACTTAATGGGGGCAGCTCTTGCTTTGAGAACTTTTTGATTTCCCTTCACCTGACCTCACACACTCAAAAAAAAAGTACAGTCATCACATCGCATTTAAATCGACACATTTTAAGGCACAATTACACATTAAGCTTTGGCTTAGACATTTTTAAAGGTTTTTAATTTGGTTTAATTTTTATTTGATTTAACTATTTAGTCAGCTTAGCCAAGCAATCATTTTCTTCACCAAGCAGCTCTCTCTCTTTCTCTATATACCTTTTCTATATCTTTCTGGTATTGTAATAGCGAAAGTCGGTTATATATTAATTATGGTTACGGTTTATATTTTGATTTGGTATTTTATTTTTGACAATTGTATTTCTCTTTATCTTTTCTCTACGTAACTTTTGTTGAATATAAACAAAAATCCTGGTGTCGTTGCGCTGAAAAAAAAATCGAAAAACAAACATGCAAATTATTAAACAAACTCCATAAACATTGTTCTTTACTAATTATATATATTAAACCAAATAAAACTTGTCTTTGGGCTTTGCTCGCTTGCCTGTTGCGCTACTTACAAACCTGTGACTAATCTGCTACATATCCGATGTAACACCCTTTAACCCCATCGAATAAACAACCCTTGATCACACCCATAAACAAACGCACATGGGTACTGCTTACTTCTTCTTAAAAATCGAAATATCGAACATGGTTAATGGTCGCTTTTCCTGTATCTATCCCATGGCGTATAATGTGCTCGCTGTCTTAAAATTACCATAAACGAATCTCAATATATATGCTGACATCTTTTGTATTTCTTCTCTATATATATATATCTGCTCTCACGCCAACCATTCGAACTCTTTCAAAAAAAAACATGCACCATATATACCCTATATAAAACAATAGGCATGTCGGGAACGTGTCAAAAATCTGCATTCGAAAATAACTGCACGTAATGAGCGCATCAAGTTGTTAATACATCGCGGCACGCCGGACGATGCCAAGCTAGAGATTTAGGATGCCGTACCCTTAACCATAAGTTAAAGCCAATCTAGGACTAGATCAAAGCCAAAGCAGCCACCCCGGCGTCTTCCGTTTGCCTTTGCTACCGCTCTCCTTCTCCCAGGGACGGTGGCCTCGGCCAAACTGTCAACTGCCGTCACTACTCTAATCAGAAAAACATGACCCATGTTTAAGAATTTAAAATTATATATATATATGCTATATTTAAAAAAGAAATAAATTAATTTATCAAATTATATTTTTTAAAACGCAAGCCCTTTTTCGAGTATAATTTATGAGGGATGTTAGGTAGCTTAGCTTTGTGTCCCCCCTTTGAAACCCCTGCAATCATATCAAAGCTAACGTTTTTGGCAAATCTTCCCCCTATCTCTCCCACTCTCTCTCTCTATCACTCTGAAACGTGAACCATGATGAACAATTAGGCAATGCGAGAATCTATCGATGGCATGCAGCAAGTCTACGATGCGACCGCTCGAAAGTCCTATGTGCTGGACCCCCATTCAGTAGTGACCACTTCATCGACTGTCTCGTTGCTTATGAAGCCAACGGCGGCAGTGGGTCTGACCTATGCTGAAGTGTTGTCAGGACATGCGAGTCCGGTAAGCGGCGGTAATGAACCGGTAACAAATCCCCGACCAGAAAGAGACCCCTCTACAACGACAACGACCCGGCAGCAACAAACGAACGATACTCAGAACCAGACAACTATCACAACTGTTACGACAACCACAACCAAGACTTCAAGACGTACGAACGGGGATGAAGCCCAAAGCCAGGAGCGATTCGAGTTCAATGGCGGCGGCAGCACTGTTTCCACGTCGATCTATGAACGCCAACAACAGGTTACACCACCCAGCAGCGACAATACCCCAACCTCAGTTCCTAGCACAACGACAACGACAACCAACAACCCCAACACTCAGTTCATCGAAAGCGAGCAGAAGCACCAACCTCAGGCGAAACCCGGTAAGAAACTTCAACCTCCGCGGCCAGAACGAAGAGGTCGTTCGCCTAGACGACGACCTCAAACTCAAACGGAACCCCAAGCGCCACCACAACCCGCAATTGAGATTCAATTGGAGCAGCAACCACAACAACAGGAACAACTCTTCTTGCCTATTGACGACCGGACTAGATCTCGTAGCCCCATGTGGGTTCCCGGATCGACTTCCTATGCCGAGGTCCTGCGAGGTCTGGAACTGGAGCGCCTCAAGGCCGAACAGCTTGCCGCCCAGGCAGTTCAAGGCCGAACGGATCTTACCATTCAGGATGTGGTGGATGCCAGCGCAGCGGTAGTCTCAGGCAGTATTTACGTACCCGAACCTGAACCAGAGTCCATCAAGGATGCGCAACAGCAACCACAGCTGGAACAATACATCAGCGAAGCGAGCACAGAGCTTGATTATTCTTCCCCGCAGCAACAGCAGTTGCAGCAACAGCAACCACTACTGCAACAGCAGCCGAAATCCCTCAGCAATTACGAAGTGCCTATGACAGCAGAAGAGATTGCAGCCACCTACTTGCAGCCCGATCCGCAGTTATACCAGACAATGTACGAGAACGTGGCCGATAGTGGTCAATGGGGTTATGTGACAGGATCTGCCACAGAGCCGCAGCAGCAGCAGCAGACGCAACAGAACTATTACGAGCAGATTATGCAGATGCAGTATCCCATACAGTATCAGCAGGTTGCTGTGCCGCCAGCGACAACGCAATATCAGCTTCTGACGGGTTACTATCAGCCGGTGGCTCAGACCGAACCCTACTCCACGGTTTACCCCGCTGATCCAAATCAAGTCTACTACACCCAGCAAAGGACTGATTATACGCAGGAATACCCACAACAGCAACAGCAGCAAACCGAACCTTTGCAGGACTACCAGCAGGAAACAGTTGAGCAGACCTATCTTATTGACCCCTACTCGACTACAGGCAACAGCGTGCTGGATCGCGTTGTTACCACGTTGGCATCTATGGTTCAACAGAGTGCCACAGAGCCTCTGACCACCAGCACCCAGCAAATCCAACCGGAGGTAGTCCAGAGCGAGCCGTACTACATTGAAGAGCATGTTCACATGCTGCGACCTGTAGAACCACAGGAGTTTGAGCTGGACGAACCGCGACCGGATATTACTTTTGGTCAGTTTGATGTTGATGCTATCGAAACAATACCGTTGGATGAGCCACAAGGTCCTCAGTCCCTGGTCGACCCTCAAGTCCACGGTCAATCTCAACCTGATATTACGACAACCAGCTATGTAACAGAGACCACAATTGTCTCCGAACAAATACAGCCAACTGTGATATTGCAGCAGACTCAGGAAGTCGTCGCAGTCCCAGAAGCCCCAAAACTTCCGGAAGTTCCAACAACGGTCACGGTCCATCCCCAGCCTCAGAGGCGAAGCCATAAACAGGTCCGGCCCCAGGACATCAGTACAGGCAGCACTTACGCCGAAGTCCTTTTCGGTCTCCAGCACACAGAACATCCAGTTTTCCAGCCATCCAGTCAGCAACCGACCCCAGTGCGCCTTACGTCCTCGCCGCCCTTGCAGCGCAAGCCAGAACAAGCTACAATCAGTACTACTACCTTTACTAATAGAACCAATCAGCAAACTAGACATGCCGAGAAATCTCCAACATGGGAACGCAAGATTGAGAATGTCGAGTCGCGCACATCCCGTACAAAGAGAGTAAGACACGAACCTCAACCAGAACCATTGCCGATTAGACAGAGTACTAGAAAAGATGGTAAGACGGGTAAGAAATCCCAGTCACCCGATAGAAATGGTGTAGCTTTGATAGAGAGCAAACCAGTTGTTGATGTGACGATTCCCCATCCGGTCTTTGAAGAGGCTTCTAAACCAGAGCCAAAGCCAAGAAAATCAAAGAAGCAGAAGAAGCCTACCGACAGTGAGGCCATACCAATTGCTCAGCCGAATGATGACCTAGCTACCGCAATTTTAGTGCCACCTAAAAAGGATAGGAAACAGCCCCTACCAGCTTTGGAGAAAAACGAAACGGTGGTAGAGACAACTGTGATAAAGAAAGTAATTGAACCTGCTGTTGAGATCAATCAGCCAACGGAAACAGCTCCAGTTCCATCAAAGAGAGATAAGAAACAAAAACCTGTCAAGGAAAAGGAAGTACCGGTTGTTGAAGTGGCACCAGTCGCTCCAACCAGAAAGGAAAAGAAGCAAGCTAAAACGGTTGTTCAGGAGGTTGAAAACACCAAGTCCAATGAGCCTATCGTTGAAACGGTAGTTTTGAAGCCAGCTGTGGTTGAACAAAAATCTGTGGACGTAAAGCAGGAAAAGAAGCAAACGAAAACTGTTGTTGAGAAGGTAGTTGAGAAGGAGATTGTCCAATCCGCTGATGAAAAGCCTCTGACTCCAGCTGCACCTTCAAAGAAGGACAAGAAAAAGTCCAAGCCAGTTGTGGAGCAAGAGGTCAGCAAGAAGCCTGTTGAGCCTGTTGTTGAAAGGGAAGTTGCTCAACCAGCTGTGATTGAGACAAAGGATGTTATTCCGACTAAGGAACCTCAAGGTACTACCACCTCGTTCAAAAAGGAAAACAAACAGTCCAAAATGGTTGTGGAAACCTCTGTTACCATCACAGAAAACGTAGAGCCAGTTGTTCAGCCAGATGTTACTCCTGCAGTACCCACAAAGAAGGACAAAAAGCGTTCTAAGAAGGAAGCTAAACTGGATGACGTTCAAATTATTTCAGTACCAGTGGAATCTACTGCTGCGGATACTAAGACAACAAAAGCAACAGAAACCATTACCGTTGAGAGTCCTGTGGTAACTGAGCCTATAATTTCTGTACAGGATTTAGTTGAAATTGCCGAGCCATCAAAAGCAATTTCTGAAAAAATTCCAGAACAAGAAGAACAAGTGATTCAATCTGAAAATGTTTCCTCAGACTTCGTAATTACTGCTACGGAAGCTGTTAAGATATCATCAAAGGACAGTACATCTCCTATTGAGATGGTCCCGGCAGATATTACTGAGACCATTATCGAAGGCGAGCCCACGGTAACTACATCAACTAACACAATCTCAACGGAAAGTGGAACTACAACCATCACAACGCGAACAATAACTAAGCACATTACCAAGCGCATAGTAAAGCGTATTGTAGATGGCAAGGAGGAGATTGTCGAGGAAGATGTAATTGATGATTTGCCTGAAGAGAACATCTCAGTTGAGCAATACAACTTACCAACGATTGAAACTACTACCAGTGAGGTGCCCATTGATGTGACTGCATTCTCTACAACACAGGACACAATAGTGCAGCAGGGATCAATAACTAAGACTGTTATTACCAAGACAAAGCGAATCCTGAAACGCATTACCGAAGACGGTGAGGAAATAGTTGAGGAGGTATTTGAAGATGAACCTGAGGTGGAACGTGATGTAACACTACTGCCTACCACAGTGGTGACATCATTGGAAGTTATAAAGGATGCTGCCCAAAATGTGGTTGAAGAAGTTTTAAAACAAGCTGAGGAAATAACGCACCCCGAATCGCAGAAAGTTACCCAGGAGAAAAAAGTTGAGGTGGAAAGAGTTTTTGCACCAGAAGTAAACACTGAGGAAGTGACTGTGATTAAAACTGAGAAGGAGCTAAACAATCCGCAAAAGCCTTCAAGAAAGGATAAGAAGAAGCAAATGAAATTGGAGAACGAGCCAGAAACTCCCATTGAGCAAAAGGTTGCCGAAATTGTCGACCCACAACTAGAAATCACAGAGCCCCTGAACATAACAAGTGCAACAACGGATAATGATCAAAAGCTTTCGTCTGAGCAAACCATAGTCAGCGAAGATAGCGGTCTTATTAAGACGACAGTTACCCGTACAACCAAAATCGTTAAGAAAATTAGCAACAGTCAGCAGGAGAGCCAGGAGATGATCTCTTCGACGTATTCCGATGCACCCTCATCTCTGGGGTCCTACGATTTGGCAGAAGAAGCTATCGAACCTCCCAAGATAGAAAAATCGGAGACGAATAGCCGTGAAATAAGCGATGAGGGCGTAGTCAGAACAACTAAAACTACAACCACCAAAACCATCAAATCTCCCAAGGTAGATGAAGCCCAAGTGGAACAATCTTTGAATGTTGAATCACCAGTAGTTGTTGATGAGCCTGATGAGGGGGGTGTGATAAAAACAACTATTGTGCGTACTACCAAAATCGTTAAGAAAATTTCGCAAGAATGCGAAAATATCAGCGAGACCAGCAGTGAAGCTGAAATTTCCCTGCCCATTGTCGAGACAGTCATGCAAGACGCTCCGATTATAGCCGAATCGGTTACAACCGAATCAAACAGCGAGGGCATAACTAAGACCACAACTACACGAACAACAAAGGCTGTGACCAAGATTGTGAGCGAAGCTGAAGATGAAACTTCACACCTACCGGATGTTCCTGTGGCCCCTATTGTCGTGGAAAGCGTAGAACTCCCAGAAGTTCCTAACGTCCCTATTGGCGTGGAGAATACGCTTCTGATCACAGCTACATCTATTGAAGTTCCAAAGGCTAGTAATGTAAAGTCTACAGTTGTAGACTTTATTACGGCCGAACAGAACGCCGCTGAAAAATATACTAAGCCCCAAAATATCGTTGCTGAGTTTCCTGTTATCGAAGAACCTAATAATTTGACTCCAATTGAAGAAATTACGGTACCTGAGCCCGAAACTTCAGAGGTTGGGGATGTTGTCAAGACTACAATTGTTCGAACAACGAAAATTGTCAAGAAGGTTTCACAAAACGCGGAACAAAGTGTTGTCGCTAACCTTTCCCATGAGGACATCGAGAAACCAGATCCTCTTGAGCCTGTGGACGAGGCGGCAAGTGGTGGTGTAACCAAGACAACAACTGTGCGTACTACTAAGATTGTGAAAAAGCTAAATGAAGATGGTGAAACGACCACGGAGGAGACAAGCACCGCTAGTGAACCAGTGACAGTACGTGAAGCTTCGCCAACTATTTCAGAAGTCCCAAGCGAAACTTCAACCACATCGAGTCAAATCGACGGTGCAATTATTAAAACTACGACGATACGAACGATGCGAATCACAAAGAGGATATCCAATGACGGACGCATTCTTCTAACAGAGAGCGAGACACCGGGAGATGTGATCGTGACCTCAAGCATTGAGATGCCCGATCAAAGACCATTTAGTCCCGTCGTTTCCTCCCGTTCAACCTCCCCTTCTGTAACGCCTACTACCGAACTTAAGCTAGATAGCCTGGGTTCAAACATACAGTTAGGATTGAAGGACAGCCCGACTGGGGTCAAGGTTATTGGCATCGAAACAAGCACTGTCGAGCTTCCGAAGCTTGGTGAACACCAATACGCTGCAAACAAGACTAATGGGGCCATTAAGGAGACGGATAGTATTACCACTACTACGACGACTACCAAGAACACGATACTCACGACTACACAACGACGAAGCTTCGAAACCGAAGATGGCACAAATGTTCTTTTCGTGGGAGAAGGCATTGACGGTGCATATCCACCGGGCACAGTTCAAAAGATTTCCCTGATTACCCATGAAGAGAAACTGAAGACACCTATTGTGAAAATGCATCTTGATTTTCCGGAGGTTAGTCTTCGTGTGACCGAGACTGTGACTGAAAATATGGAATCCCTGCAAAGAACAGCCGAAAGTAGAGAGAATACAGTGATTGAAGTTGTCGAGTTGTCTAAATCTGAAGTCCCAGAAGCAGTAGAACCCAAACCAGATCCTATTCCGCATATACCCGAAAAATCTACCCAATCAGATGAACTAGTCGATAGCCCAGAAGTGACCCAATCAGCTTTCCCTGAAAGTAGCTCTGCAGAATTAAGCCCCGAAGAGCAAAAGCTTTTCGAGGACATTCAGAAAAAACTTTCCAAAAAGGATAAAAAGAAACGTCCCGCTATTCCAGAAGAGTTCATAAAACAAGAAACAGTTCAGGTTATTGTAGAGGAAAGTAAAGGTAATGATGCTATTTATGTACCCTCTGTAGTTGACGAAATAACCAATGCAGTTGAACCCTTAGTTAAGCAAAACGTGACTGCTCAGAATGTTATCCAGGACGAGTCCTTGATCTCTAGAGTCAAATCAATTGAACATACTAGGGCAGATGTTATTTATCAAGAGTCCATAGTAGAAGTTGCGCCAGTTTCCAAAACTCCTTCTATTACAACCAAAGAAGAAATACAGGGTGATATTCAGACAAGACCTATTCCAGAACCTGAGAAATTGCTTTGCAATATTTCTCAAGACTCGTCTCTAATCTCCACCGTCAAGAAAATCGAGCAAACCAAGTCAGACAATATTTACCATGAGTCTATAATTGAAGTTCTCCCTGTTCCCCCTCAAGAAGAAGTGCCAGTAAAAATTCCATGCGAAACTCAGTCAACTCCTGCTCCTACTAATATTGCTAATCCAATTGTTCCTGCTCAACCAAGCGCATTACTTGCTGAAGCATTTGTGGCTAACACGGTAAGCACTTTAAGTATAATCACTAATATTGAGAAACCTTCTCCCTTTGAAAAAGTATTTGAAATTCCCAAGTTTGATTTATCCACATTTAATATTGCTGAGGGTAATTATCACATAATCAATTCTAAAGCTAATGAAATCAAACAACTAAATGTCATCGAACCTGAACCTATATCTTCACCAAAGACGGTAAGCTTTGGCGATGAAACGGAAACTAATAAGGAAACTATTGTCACCGGCATGGGTTCAACAACAACACTGGTTTCTGTGTCACATCAACAGACCGATAATGTCCCTGCTATGTATAACTTTGAGGTTCCCAAATTTGACTTACTTTCACTTAACAAGGCTGAAACTAGACAGAAAATACTCGAAGCCACAGAAGCTCAAGAAGAAAAAGATATTACGGTTGAAATTAAAGAAGCTAAGCCGGAATCAGTTGCTGAAGCATCTGAGCCCATTCTTGAAACTTCGGTTGTGGATAAAACTAAGACCATTACAACAATCACCACCACAACAGTCACTACTGAGTGTACTAGCGAAACTGCTCTCCCTGAGGAGCCCAAGAAAACTGATGATCCGGAGAAGAAACCCGAGGAGCCAAAGAAACCAGCATATGCAGGTCTGCCCGTAGATGACTCTTCCAGCTCGTGGATGAATGTTTTGGACGAACCCATGAACTTCTCTGATGATGAGGAAAAACCAGTTCCCACGCCTGAAAAGGAAACTACGCTCATCGATGCAGTTTCTAAGCCTGAGCCAATTGGAGAACCAGCTCCTGAGCAACAAGAGACAGTTACACTCGTCGAAGAAATTGTCAAGCCTGAGCCCATTGTTGAAACTTCGGCTGTGGATGAAACCAATACCTTTACAACAATCACCACCACAACAGTAACTACTGAGTGTACCACCGAAACTGCTTTTGCCGAGGAGCCCAAGCAAACTGCGGAGCCAGTAAAATCCGAGGAGCCAAAGAAACCAGCATATGCAGGTCTGCCCGTGGATGATTCTTCCAGCTCGTGGATGGATGTTTTGGATGAACCCATGAACTTCTCTGATGATGAAGAAGTACCAGTTCCAACGCCTGAAAAGGAAACTACGCTTATCGAAGAAGTTTCTAAGCCTGGGCCAATTGTTGAACCAGTTCCTGAGCTACAAAAGGCAGTTACACTCGTCGAAGAAATTGTCAAGCCTGAGCCCATTGTTGAAACTTCGGCTGTGGATGAAATCAATACATTTACAACAATCACCACCACAACAGTCACTACTGAATCTACCACCGAAACTGCCGAGGAGCTCAAGCAAAATGCTGAACCGGTAAAATCCGAGGAGCCAAAGAAACCAGCATATGCAGGTCTACCCGTGGATGATTCTTCCAGCTCGTGGATGGATGTTTTGGACGAACCCATGAACTTCTCTGATGATGAGGAAGAACCAGTTCCAACGTCTGAAAAGGAAATTACGCTCATCGAAGAAGTTTCTAAGCCTGAGCCAATTGGAGAACCAGCTCCTGAGCAACAAGAGACAGGTACAGTCGTCGAAGAAATTGTCAAGCCTGAGCCCATTGTTGAAACTTTGGCTGTGGATGAAACCAATACCTTTACAACAATCACCACCACAACAGTAACTACTGAGTCTACCACCGAAACTGCTTTTGCCGAGGAGCCCAAGCAAACTGCTGAACCAGTAAAATCCGAGGAGCCAAAGAAACCAGCATATGCAGGTCTGCCCGTGGATGATTCTTCCAGCTCGTGGATGGATGTTTTGGACGAACCCATGAACTTCTCTGATGATGAGGAAGAACCAGTTCCAACGTCTGAAAAGGAAACTACGCTCATCGAAGAAGTTTCTAAGCCTGAGCCAATTGGAGAACCAGCTCCTGAGCAACAAGAGAGAGTTACACTCGTCGAAGAAATTGTCAGGCCTGAGCCCATTGTTGAAACTTCGGCTGTGGATGAAATTAAGACCTTTACAACAGTCACTACTGGGTCTACAACCGAAACTGCTTTTGCCGAGCAGACTGAGTCTACCTCCGAAACTGCTCTTGCCGAGGAGCCCAAGCAAACTGTTGAACCAATTGTTGAACCAGTCCCTAAGCCACGAGAGGAAGTTACACTCGTCGAAGAAGTTGTCAAGCCTCAGCCAATTGTTGAAACTTCGGTTTTGGATAAAACCAAGACCATTACAACAGTCACGACCACAACAGTGACTACTGAGTCGACCACCGAAAAGGCTCTTCCCGAAGATTCCCTTCTTGTCGAAAAGGATTCTACATCTGCGGAAACTCTGACAATAGGCAATCTGGTAGAGAACGTTCATCAATCGGAGAAACCTCTTGAGGGACCAATTGATACCTGGTCCAGCGTTTTAGAGGACACAATTCCTAACACTGGAAACATAGGCTTCACTTCAACCCTTTCAGCGGATGCTCCTGAGTTTACTCCATCTTATTTGAGACATACTTACTCCGATCAAACGCATACATTCCTTGCAAATGAAAGAGTTTACAACGAGTTCATTCCAAGGAATAGGTCAGAACAAACGATTGTGCCTCAATCAAAGCAGAAAAAATCCAAGCCGTCAAAGCGGCAGAACAAGAAGGTGGAAACACAGGAAGAAATCCCTGTTGTACAGTCTGCACCGGAAACATACGTTCCAGAACCAATACAAATAGTCGAAGAGGTGGAGAATGTATGGACCAAGAACAGAGACGGAAAATCCTATGCTGACGTGTTACTTAACTCTGGCGTTACTGGCGATGTTGTTCCAACAACTGAATTACAGCCTCAAAAAGAAATCCCGCCCATACCAGCTACAAAAACCCAGGAGCGCAAGAAAAAGACGAAGCCCGAAAAACGGCAGACAGTTGAAAAATGTATTGAGCTGTCTGCACCAAGCATTGAAAGTGATAAATCTAAGTCAACTAGCGATAGCGAGCAGTCAAAGCCTACTACAGAAAGTGAACTTTCTAAACCAACAACAGAAAGTTCTAAGGAACCATCTTCCGACGAAAGGGATGTCTCAAGCACCTCCGATTTGACATGGTCAGCTCTTGTGCGTAGGCCTGGCGAGTGGTCAGACACAACAGTTGTTAAGAAAGAAGTGACTCACACGGCGGCTCTTGTTGACGAAAAACCTCGAAAGAAAGAAAAGGAAGAAAACAAGAAGACCACAAAAGCCAAGAAGACTAAGAAGTCAAAGAAACCAATTGTTGAACCAGTCTCGACCACATCTGAGGACGAGCAACCAGAGCCTGTTCCTGTACCGATCGCGGCTATACCAACACCAGTAGAGACGAAACTGGAACAAGAAAGGAAGGAGAAGGTGGAGGGCAGTAGCTCATTCTCTTGGGCTTCCCTTGTCAAGAGGCCGGGCGAATGGATTGACAACACTGTTACGCATATCAAAACAGCTGTAGCAACTTCAACTGACGTAAAAGAGCCAACCAAAAAAGACAATGATAAACCACAAAAGCCGAAAAAACAGAAGTCCAAGAAGAAACCTACTCCAGTGCTGGAACCTGAGTCTGAAATTAGCAGTGAGCCAACGGAAGAAATTGTTGCCCAGCACGAAGTGGAAGTGGAAGAGGCAAAACCTATCGAAAACACAGGAAACGCTTTCTCATGGGCATCATTGGTCAAGAAGCCGGGCGAATGGGTTGACGACATAGCGGCCCGTAAGAAGCCAATTGAAGCACTTAAGGAGGAGCGCAAGGAAGAGGTGCAACCACGAAAAGAACGGAAATCTACGAAACCCGTGAGCAAGCCCCAAAATGACAAGGTCGTCAAACTTAAAGAGGAGACTCCTGAGCCTAAAATCATTCAGTCGACATCCGACGATAGTGATGTGGTTGAGGTATTACAAACTCAAGATGAAAATACAATTACTTGGGCTAAAATCGCTCGTCAAATTGATCACATGACCGACTTGGCACCAAAGGTTAATAAGGAGGTTAAGCCAAACCAAAAAGACACTTCAAAACAGAAAGTCAAATCAGATCGATATGAAAAACATGCAAAGACAAGGGTTGGTGCTACACCTCTCGATGCCAGGGAAGGTCAGAAAGAAAGTGTTCATTCCTGGTCTTCAGTAGTTAGTCATCAAGTCACTGATTTTATTGAAAGTGAAAGTATTAAACCAACTCCAAAAATACCTACGGAAAAGACGAAGCCGAAGGCTGAAACTCTACCAAAAAGCACGAAGTTTGAGAAACCATTGCAAGATCTAGAAAATAAGCCACAGAGGTCATGGGCTGAAATGTCTGACGATGGGTCGGAAGACATCGTTGTTGAAAAGAAATCGTGGAAGGAACTTATAGAAGACGAAGTAGAGATTCCACTTCTTCCTGAGAATGGAGAAGAGGCCAATATAAACAAGATTATTGAAGCCATCCAGGAAATTAAATCAACCAACGAAGAAACCAAGACAGTGACAGCTTTTAAGCCTCAAAAGGACAGCTTGGTTGTCGAAAAAATTACCATATCTGAGCCAATTGTCCAATCTTCAACCGTTGATAAAACGAAGACGGCAACAACCGTAACCGCTACTACCGTAATTTCTGAGTTGATCAGTGAAACTTCTCTACCTGGGGAATATAAGAAAACGGATGAACCGGAGAAGAAACTTGAGGAGGCGAAGAAAGCAGCATATGCAGAATCAGTTCCTGAGCCTGTGGAGGTTCAACCAATTCTTGAAGATGAATCCAAGACCATTACAACAGTTACCACCACAGTTGTTACTACCGAGTCTACTAGGGAAACTGCTCTCCCTGAGGAGCCCAAGAAAGCTGATAAGCCGGAAAAGAAACCCGAGGAGCCAAAGAAACCAGCATATGCAGGTCTGCCAGTAGATCACTCTTCCAGCTCGTGGATGGATGTTTTGGACGAACCCATGAACTTCTCTGATGATGAGGAAGAATCAGTTCCTGAGCCGCAAAGGGAAGTTACGCTCGTCGAAAAAGTTGTGGAGGTTCAACCAATTCTTGAAGATGAATCCAAGAC